CTGAGGTTTGATTCTGGACATTTATATATTATTTGCGGATCTATCACATGACTTTGGGTAAAGACCGAGCCACTCAAACTATGGTAACTGTACTGGTTTGCATACCTGCGGACGTCCATTTGTTTTCAGGTCACCCAGGATCCACCATTTTGACTTTATTCATTTCAGGTTAACCTGCCCATCCACATGATTCCGCCCCATTATTTGCATTCACCCTTGTGTAGGGTACACATCCCACCAGCGCATGCGAAATCAGCCGGAGTTGAGATACTCTTGGCCCAAAGGACCTTAAGACAAGGAAACAGCCCATCCGGCCCATCCTACAGAGGACAGTCACTTCGAGGGTCGGTTTTCGGAGAGCAGACATATGGCACTCACTTGCAGGACCCAATGGAAACAGCGAGACATCGCACTACGAGTCAGTTTTGGTATGGCAGGGCAGTGGTTTTGACTAGCCATCTCAGGCCCTCGCATACCAGGCATACCAAACCAGGGTGTGTGTGTGTGTGTTTTTTAATGGCCTGGCTTCTTTCAGTTTCTTAAGCCATCTCAGGCGCAGGCGGAGGGGTCTTCTCCACCAGCAGGACTTGGTGGTCATCGCGCGCGACGATGGGTGCAAGCATCCGTGGGACAGAAGCTATTTTTTCCTGCCAGGTTATGCCCTCCACAAAATTGTTGCAATGTGTTTGACGTGCCTCCCATGCCCCACCAATGTGCACGTGTTGGTGTTTGTGTGAGTGGGTGTGTTTTCGCATGTGTGTTTTGGCAACATGGAGGAACCAGCAGTCCGCGCACACACACAGACAGAGAGATTTTTCTAATGTCATTAGGCAGTATATATAGTCGAGAAGGATTTTGATGGTAATTATATATCAACATTGCCATCCTCATTATTGCTCATATTGGTTCAACTTATGATCTAGTGAACCTAGTGATTAGACTGACAAGTAAATCCCCTTTAGACATGTGTTGACAAACGGTTGCTTCTGTTGTTCTGGATGGGTGACGGAAAGAGCACCAACACAAACACACACACAAGAAGGGAAAACAAACTAATGATGGTCAAGAACCCTTCTACCTCCGTCCACCCAATTTCATCGAATTTCGTCCTTTTTGGCTCCGACTTGAAACCTCCAGCGCGAGGAACTTCGGCATCGAGCCGCTCCCCTGAAGCCGGGGACAGAAGCGTGCCAGCGCGGGCGTTGGAGGCCACTTCTTCTCGCGCCCGCAAAGGGCACCGCAAAGGGCACCGCAAAGGGCACGGATGGCTAGGAATGGCGGAACACAGCGCATGCTGGTTTCACATGCAGACCAAGTTTGAGGCTTAGGTTGAAGCTTTCTGTCAGACTCGAATTGTTTTTGCAGTTTCTGGGGGTCAGGTTTTGCTCTTGAGGTTCTCGACTCGGGGTTCGAACCCCACATCAATTTGTTTAGCTACGCATCATATCACCTCAATGCTTGCATTGTTTGGCCAATGCCAACCGCCAACCGTCGATAACGTCTTTGTTGGGCACCCCTTCTTATTCTTAGTAGATCTCAGTAGAGTTATATATGTATAACTTATTATATAACATTATCTTTCAACACACACACATTTAATTAATCATATGTCAAATTATCATATTCATATATACTGTCACAATACACAATATATATTAGTGAATTTTTATAGTGAACCGTTGAAACATCATCATATTCCATTTCTCCACCTGCACAAGTGGTCGTTTTGTTTTTTTGAAGCACTTCTCCAGGTGTCGCAGCTTTCATCCAGCTCATTAGGTGTGGAAGACTCTGTGGATGGGAACGATGGGAAGCTGGGCCCCAACACGATGCTATATTGGTCACCGCATGGATCATCGCAATCCTGTGGTTGACCGGTGTTTTCCCATTGACCCGTTGCCATATAGGGGAACAGGTCGCCCCAAGCCCCCTGGACTTTTCTGGAGAACAATGAGCTTTGAGAGTTTTGTTCAGGAGTGTGACTTCAATTGTTGCCCATTTATCATTGTACACCTTGGCCATGGGATTACACCTTGCAGGACTACAGTAGAACAGGCGTCATCCAGCTGACCTCACCCGGCCAACTTTTGGATTGACCTCACGGGGCGCTGGCAAGATGAACAGCTTCAATGTCGGGTCAGCCGCTGATTAGGGAGGGGATCATTCTGACGACATACTCTCGACTCTAGAATGCAATACGATCAGATCAACTGATCAACACATACGACCCTTGCAGCTGTCCCCCGAAAACGGTCGACCCCAGAACCCCCAGCGCCCCGGCCGACGGGTTCTGGCTGTCTCAGGCGTGGCCGAGGCTCGGAGCAGCGAGACGCGCGGCCGAAGTGAGACCTGACCCGAGCTGCCCGGTGTGACGTGGGCATACGTGGGCCTCCACCGGTTTCCATCGACCCTTGGTCAATCAATTGCCCGAAGCCCACAGTCAAGGCATTCTACTGTGTGGATCTTTGTGGCATTCTATGGCCGATCCACTTTGCCAGAATCCACTCATATCCATCATAGACTATATAGACTGAAGAACTTGATCCGCCACGACCCCGGATCTGCCCGGACCACTCCTCGCCAGGTGGATGGTGTGCACCTCATTGGTAGCACTGTGCTCATCCAGGGCCTGATCCGATCCCCAGAGTTCAATGGCCAGCCGGACCCCCAGTGATCCCCGCATCTCCCCGCGCAGACCGTTTGCCCTGCAAACGCGTCCATGGTGAAGGCTGAGAGAGGTGTTGGACGCGTCCATGGCCCAAAAAGAGCCAACAAGGCCCATGGGATTCGCACAACATCCAAGCACGGCAACAGCAGTGCGAAGAATGTAGCTTGCAACGAAACGAAACCGTCAAAACGCGTCCAACATCCATGTCGTCTTTCGCCACACAGCTGCGCGGAGGGCGATGGGCCCGCCGCTCAGGTGGGGCTATGTCGAGTCCTACGATCCTCAAATGCAGAGGTATTTGGTCAGCGTTGTGCCTTGACGATGTTGGGGGGGCGACGAGTTAAATGCTGCATGTAGATCCATATGGTACAATCTGATCTACCAGTTCTGGACCCGTTTTGCTGGGACAAAGCCTGTGTCCAAACAAAGGCCTTTGAAGATCCCGGGCCTTCCATGTGTATCCAAACGAAGCCTTGAATCCTTTTAAACATCCTTTTTTAGGATCCGAGATTACTGTACATTATCTGGTGATTTGGTTGGGTGACCTGGCTGCGACTGGTGGGAGGCCCCCCCCCTCTTCCTGTCTGAGGTGCTTCCCACACAGCTGCCTGGAGAAGCCCCACTCTACGCCAAGCTAAGGCTGCCCATGGTTTCAAACGAAGCTGAGAGACATATACAATTAAATTGCTGGTAGATCATGGCACGTAATAAGTAGTTCTCACAACATTTTACAACCAGTTCACCATAGTTCACCCATGGGGCCGTGATTGATTCCATGGGCGTTGTTTGTGCGTTGTTCTCGCCATGTTATCAACCTTTGGAAGGTGAAACAAGCTAACTTTGGGGGTTCAGTCAGTTTCTGTGTTTGTCGAGTCTTTGTTGACAAGCTTGGGATCGGGGCTTGTTTCTGCAGTGCTTAACTGTGTTTTTCTAGACGAACTCCGACACTTCCAACGCGTGAAATCATCCTACTAGTAGCTTCTTGCTACTGGTAGTATTGGCCTCCAAGCTAAAAGCGATGGCCTCCAACCTAATAGCTTCTTGCTCCATAAACTTTTATCACGAAAGCTAGCGAAGCTAGCTGGAGTTACTCTTGCGATAGCAAGGTTTCTTTCGATCGGGTGCAAATCCTAACCCCTGATCTTTCAGGTCGAAGCCCCCCCCTCCCCCCTCCCTCCCTCCCTCCCTCCCCACCTCATCTCTCTCATCTCTCTCTCATCTCTCTCTCATCTCTCCCTCATCTCTTTCTCATCTCTCTCATCTCTCTCTCCTCTCTCTCTCTCTCTCTCTCCTCTCTGTCTCTCGTATTTCCGTCTCTCTTCTCTCTCTTCTCTCGCAGGAGGATCCGGGCAAAGAGCCACATATAAAGGACTCTTCACCCCTGCCTCCAAAAAGAGCGCCGTGTTTTTTCCTACCTCGCTGCCCTCCACTTTCCCATTCTGGAGCGCTAGCTTTCGCCCCCCCCTTGGCCTCAAGTTGCATCGTTCCAAAGCCCTGGGGTGATCAACTCGGTGCCAGGCGAGACAACTTGGTACTTCCCTGCGCTGCTCTCAGTTGCTCACCAGGAACCTTGGGCGAAAAGCAGCTATGATGCTATGCTCTCACCAGTTGTGTCCCACGGAAGTTCGGATAAGTTCGGTATTGAATCATCTCACATGGCATGGTATATCCTCGATCGATGGCAATCGCAAGAGCCATTTTATGTCATGTTATGTTCATCCCACAAGTGGGCACATGGTCAAAGGACAGCGAGTGCCAGCTAGAACTCCGAACCCAGTAAAACCTTCATTCGCCTGAAGATGCAAGAAAAGAACACATCCAGGAATTCCGCCAGAGGTGCCTCTTGGGGTTTTGGAATCCACCCCAACATGGAGCTCCATGTATGATCCATGTCACTTTCATCCATTTTCCTCACCTTCACGACCGTCGCCAGGTCCTGACCTGCCCCAGGTGCCGCCAGAATTCACTCCTCCAGGGAAGGGAAGGGGGTGGAGCCACGGCGCGAAAGATCATTGGTGGTTGTGGAGGTGGGGTCGGTTGGGGCTTTGCTTTGGGTGGATCACTGCTGTCCGTGCGGTTCAACCGGAGAAACGAACCATTCGCGAACCTTGACATTTGGAGGGCCAATTGGCCAGGTTTTTCTGACGCCCGCATGCAGGGGACTCTTGTCTGCTTGGACACAGGGAGGGTTCGCAATTTCTATCAATTTTTTGAGACTCAGAGTATATCAGAACATGCAAGACGAGGGATGCGCTTGTTTGTTTAGGAGGGTCAGTCTACTCACTCTGCAAACCGCCACCTTCAAAAATCTCGGCAAAGCATCTCGTCATGCAGTTGGCTCAAAGGTTGAGCTTCTTTAGTGCAGGTTCTTTTGCTGTACAGGGTTGGGAACGATGGGAATCGAAGTGCACGTTCATGAGGCCTGGATTGGCTTCGAAGTTTTTTTTGAAAGAAGGAATGCGAGGGTGTCAAAACCAGTGAGGGACATCGAATTGGCTGAAGCACGGCCATGCTTATAAGAACTGGGGCCTGGTTCCCATCCCTTTTTGAGCTTCCCACATTTTTTTGAGTAACATTCTCCCAATGACCAAAAAATGTACAAAATTGTGTCGGCTTGTCCAGGTGTTGAAGCCCTTGGAGAAGATCCAAGTGGCATGTGACAACACTGGAATCATCATGCTCTCAGTGCTAGGTGCCCTGGCTTATCACTTATCAGAACAGATCGTGTCTTGACATGCCTTGCTGGAAGGGATTTCACGTGCCCGCCAAGGATCCAAGTACCTCCTGAACAAAACCCTCCCAACAGGACGTCCATGCTTTTTCATTACTCTCTCACAAGGGAGTTTTTCTTTTTTGTTCCGGTCGACGAGTGATGTCCATGCTTGCTCAGAAACAGGAGAGTCCAGGAGAGTGTTGCGACTTTTGCTGGTAGGCCACTGCCAGAGGTCGAATCAGATGTTCTACTGAGGCGCTGTGTAGCCCTTCCCTCTTGCTATCTCCATTGATCTCAGCAATTGGGGCCTATGCGGTGTTTTTTTTTAGCAACTATACTGTAATGATAAATCACGTACTGTCATTTCTATTTATTCCTTGCCTCTGGGTGGGGCAGCCTCCACTTTTCCATTCTCACAGCCTGCGGTGGTCCAAACAGAGTGGTAGTGTGTACAGATGGAAGTCGATAACCCCCAAACCCTGAACATTGGGAATTGACCTCGGATGACATCCGACATGAAGATCACGAATGCAATTAATGCGCCTCTCGCTGTACTCTTCTCGAAAGGCGTGTTTGCTCAACCAGGTGTTTTGACCTTGGGTGTGTGCTTCTTTGGTTATCGGATCCTTGGTCGGCAGCCAACTTGGGTCGTTCATGCTGGTGAGTGTTCACCCTCAACCTGTTGAAGTGCAACATGCTTGTAATTAGTGACACCCTGTGTATGACAGAGAGAGATGGGGATGTGAACTTGTTTGCCGCCGGTCCGACACACTCCTTATATAACCTATCGCAAGAATGTTTTAAAACAATCTACAAGATCTCTGGAGAGTGAGTGATCCTTGTTGGTTGGTTGATGATGAGGAACACATGTAGTTGAGCGAGTTCTCAATGAAATTGTTTGTACATATTAGCCGACATGCGTAGACCCATTGCACTTGTATGGTGTCAACTCAAATCAAGGAATGTTAGTGACAGAGTTGTCGTCTACCATGCTGCTGTTTTATGAACCACCTGTTGCCGCCATTCTACATTTGATCTTGTGCTTCACTCTCGCGATCCTCAATTGGGTAGTCAGTCATGGCAGTCTCAGACACTTTATGACTTGCGAAAACATGGCTCGATCCATACCAATGAGCCCTTCAGTTTCTCATTGGGCTTGTAGAGGCATCCATAGACTTGGAAGACTACCAATTTCTCCACCCAGGTTTGGCGGCGTTGCCCAGAGCCATGAGGGCCGGGTTTCACAAGCATGTGTTTTCAAGATCTTCCAGGTGTCCAGCATCTCCTGTGAGGATCTACAAGCTGGCCTTCCCGGTCTTTGGTTTTCTCGTAGGCTTTGGCCTCCAAGCAGCAGTTGGCAGTGCCTGGGTGCAGCAGCAGGCAAGGAAATTGGGGCATGCGATTTGTGCTCTCCGACGGTCGGGGTGGACCGTAGTAAACTCTTTGCTATATACAGCAGGGCTCTCTGTCTAATACTATATATATGTATTATATTGCGCTGTTTATTATTGTTGTTATTGTTAATGTTACTTTTATCGTATTTTCTTAATATGTGTATTTTTTTCAGTAAGTGTATATTTTAACTATTATCCATGGTCAACACCTTTAGTTGTCAAAGCTTTCATTTTCACTCTGTGAGTCCGCCATGGTGCCTTTTGGGCACCGGCGCTGAGCGGTCCGTCGGTCCAGCGTGGCAGGACAACCAGGACCATGGCATCACTGTGAAGATCATTGTGGCGCTTGGGCCTTTAACATCCTTTAACAGTTCTATTGGGTGACGGGTTGTGCTTTTTCGGGTGCTATGACTTCTGCAGTGAAACCGCTGGATGTGGAAGAGGCTCCAAGTGAAACTGCTGGATGTGGAAGAGGCTCCAAGTACTGGGCTGTCTACGGGTTACTGGGTTTTTGGGAGGGCGCCATTCATGACCGGATAGCGCGCTGCGGAGGCAGACATAGGACATAGGTGACTTTGCAGCTTCAGGCGGCCCCACCAAAAATTATGTTTGGATATGTTTGCCTGCCCTAGACTGCTCGAAGGTAACTTGTTGGTACTGTTTGTATATATATATATACAGTTAAACTTAGAGTTAGAGAACTATGTTACCAGATATTGGCATGAGTTCCGGAAGGGCCAGAGTAAAACATGGCAACCGGTTGGTGTGGAAACTGACTGCTGGGGTTTTTATTTTCTCGGCGTGCCTTTCCAGGGCCTTTTTGTCAGTTCGGGCATGTATGGGCTTTCATTCTTTTGAATATTGAAGGCCTGTATTCTCAATGGGTAATCTCTTCTGTTGTGGTGAGCCCCGATTGGACCAAATGCCACACGTCACCTGTTATGATGGAAGAAGTCCTTTCCAATCCGGGTGTTTAGGACCTGGTGGACTTGTACAATATAGCTGGACATGCTTTTATCAGCCGTGGTTTGCTCAGGTGGTATGTGCAATTTTGTGGGGAACCCTCTTCCTCATGCTGGCGCGACGGTACTACGACTCCTGGTGTGCAAAGCTTGAGTCACTTCTTGCAGTTGTTGACTTTGCGAGAGCCAACTGACAGCTCAAGGCCACTGCAGAATCCTCATTAGCATTCTTTTGGCCAAATATGATAGAATATGGAATGAACAGATGCGAATCCTGTCTCTAACGATAGATTCAAACCTCCTGTAATCCCTTTAAGAATACTGATCACAGTCAACGTTTGATCAAAGATGTCCTTTCGTACCCCTGTTCAGCCACTACTGCCGCAGGAGAGTGAACGGTTGCCCCTTTCGTTTCAACAGGCGAACACTCATAGGTTGGGCATTTGGAAGAGGGGCCATGCGATGAGATTTCTCTGTTTAGAGTTTAAACAGAGAAGCCCCAACACCTGACAATCCATGAGATCCTGAACAATCCATACAATCTGTGGGTGAAACATGTGGAATAAACCAGTGTTTGACAACTCCGAGTTTGGCTGATGTTGCGCCTCCCAAAAGAAAGCACAGGTAAGAGAGATATGGCTTCACCAACGGTGACGCCTTTCACCAACACGCGTGACGTGCCCAGTTTCCAGGAAGTGATTCAGAAGGTCTTGGGCTTCTTGGTGACTTGGCGGCGGTGCAGTCCGAACTGGGCGAAATACTGCACAGGGCCTCAGAGGGGTCCTTCTAGAGATTGCTGAGGAAGCCCACAAGGACATAATTTAATTGTTTGAGATACATTCCGCCTTTTCATTCTTTTCCGTGATGGGTGCTCTTTTGGTGCTCAAGTCAAGACCATGCACACCTCCAAGCCCAATGACGAAGCGGAAGTTGCTAGTCGCCACTCGCGCCTGGCGCGTGATGTGCAAACGTGGAGATTGGCTCACGGTATTAAATTAGTAAACGGAGTTGGAGCATATATTGTTGGAGCCTGATTAGCATCAGTGATGTAATCGAGCTGAAGAAAGGCGTGCAATTGAATTTGTTTCTCGGAATCGTTGTGATGGGGCTGAAGAGCCCTACTCACATGTTCTTTGTTTTGAGGTATCATTTGGTTACCTCCCAAGCCGTCTTGTGCCATCTTCAATCCCACCAGAGTTCAACATATCAGCTAGGCTTGTTCACCGGCAACAGGGATGTTCAAGGCTGGAGGTTGTAACCATCAAAGAAGTACTGTGATGGAACTACAAAGAGAGTCACAGAATATGTCAGCACCAAAGGGTGCCAACAGGGACAGCCAAAAGAAAAGTGAACTACAGCACCTTTAAAAGTGTCTAGCAGCACCCAAATTTTAGGATACATCACCCCAAGCAATTTTTCCGGGGAACACTGCTCTTATAATTTTGGGCCCACTTGTGAACATTTGTCACGGAACAAAAAGGTATAGTTGCATGATTTGCACATACCTTCTAGAATATTGTTAATATCGTTGCCCTGGCTCAGGTGGGTGTTTGCTTGGGTGTCGCCATCACGATCCTTGCCGTCAGCCTCGCTGAGAAGCCATTGGAAGAAAACCTAGCGCAGTATGCTGGCTGGGAGCGCTTTGCTGCTGTCACCCTGGGTGTTCCCATCGCTTTGTTTCTTGGTCACGGCTGGGCATGGTAGTATGGCAGTGATGTTTCCACCAGGATGTCAGTCCAAGACCAGACAATAACTGCCTATATAAACGAGAAAGCCTCAACCGCAGATGTGGAGACCCATTGCTATCCACGGTGTGGTCCGACGATCCTTGTTTTTGTTGCTTGAAAGGGTCAAGTGGCAGGAGCATACATATCACAACTATATATATATATATCACAACTATATATATATATATACATATATATTCTTCAGACATACACAAATAAGTATTTATATTTATATATATATACAATATTTATGTATTGACATATGCAAACTAGGGCTTAACAGCTCCGTGAAAGCGTCAACAAACTCATTGTCCACAGGCTTCCACGCCCATTATGTCCGACATTCCCCCCAAATTGGCCTCTACGGAGGCTTCCAAGTTGAAGCTTTATCACAAGGCAACCAACTGAAGGTTTTCTACCCAGATGGGTGCGATGGTTGCTGGTGGAGCAAGATGGTCCTATATAGTGTCGCGTTGACATTCCAACTGGTTGGAGCCTATTTACAGGAAGCCAATGGTGATTTGAAGGAGATCCGGGTGACACAGCGCCACGGCCTTGTTACATGCCCGCCTCCCCTCCCAGTCCTCCCCTTTGTGCTGTTGATATTCTTGGTGGATCCACTACAGCATCCATGCTCATGCGATATCATCAACAGTATTTGAAGACATTCTTCATGTGTCGAGGGCCTCCAAACAAGCAGGCTCCAGAAAACACTCATCAGAGCTTGCGTGTTTCTCCCAGGTTGACGGGCTATGTTTGCCGGAACTTTGTGAAGTACCTGATCATGTTGCTGACCGCGGTGGTGGGCGCTGCTGGCCTGTGGAAATGCGGCACGTCACTGATTGACTGCCCACAGGTCCATTCAGATCTGGGGCCTGGCCTCTTAGAGAAGCTCGGAGTGCGATCGGCTAGATCAGGTAGCCAGCTGCTTTCCTGGCTTTGGAGTTTCGTTGGGGTCAATTCAGAGTGAACAGGGTAGATGTGGGGTTACATCCAAAGAGAGGCGAGTCCCAGCCTGTAGAGAAAGACCTTGCACTTTGTCACATGACGGTGAATCTGCACATGCCCACGCCTTGATTGGATGATTGAAGCATCCAGCTGCTGCAGTGGATGATTCGCTTCAATGACGCAACCATTCAACCTTTGAACGTGTTATATAACGGTGTGAACTTGCAGTTTTATCCAGTTGTCAAGCAAAGAACAAGTAGAACTGCACAGCGACTTACTCGTCTAACTTTTAGACTTGTCAAAGCATCTGTTGGACTAGATGTTTCACAAATTCTTCCCGTGATCCATGTTCATGAGTCATGAGTCACGAGGGCAACGTTCTTGCAACTGACATTCTGCCACCGGTTCCTGCTCCAACGGTCATTTTCCCGGCCTAGAAGCATCAAAATTGGGAGATGAAGGGGTTGAAAGTTAAAGGAAAACTTGTTCCGGAGCCGTGCCGGACCAAGCTGGTCCTAACCGGTCCAGAGTTGGGGTACTGTTCTTCAATTGGTGAGTCCGAGAACCCGTTTTCTCAGGAGGTTAGTTGGAGAGCCTCATGGGTTGATGGAAGAAACAACTTCCATCTGAAGGACACTGTCAATAGCATTTGGTTCCTGCACCCTTGCAAAACGGTGTCTCCCATCAATCGGGTCAGAGCTCCAGAGCTCATCTGAGGAATCCGGTCTTCAACTGGTCAATCTTCATTGGGCTGTCCTTGGTGGGTTTGTTGGCGCAGTTCCTTTGGCAGCCCAAGTCGACCGGCGCCAAGTCTTCAGCCACGGTCTCCCCAAGAGGGGAACCCTGAGACCCTCTTTGGTGCTTCTGACCGGGAGGGCGGAGTTTGTTCCAGATGGGTCAGCTTTCAAGATCATGTGGGCCCACACGAACTTACATGGTGTGAAGATGTGCCCATTGACTCGTCTATATAGCCCCCTTGATTCCTTGATTTTGAGTGAGATCCACTGGGTAGCAGGGTTTGTATATGTTCTTGAAGTTGTGCCCATTTGGGTGATTGGACATTTTCGGGATGGGTCATGATGGGTCCTCTGCAGTGGCCACTTATATACATACCCCCTTCGACATATTGTGTGAATTGCTCCAATATGCAAAAATCCGATAAAATCCACTGTAGCACCTATAGTTGCTAAGATTAAGTAGATTGTTCAATTCAAATTCAATCCATCCTGTGTCAGCATCATGAGCTACCCCCCGATCCAAACAATTTCAATCAATCCACTCCACATCTGGCCTTATTTCGCGCCATTGGGGCCTCTCAGCTCCTTAGAGCAACCACTGGGGATTTGTACAGATCAATTCTCAGCTGGTCGCGACTCTGTTCCCCAACCCGACAATCTCGCGGACGGCGCCGCCTTCGGGAACGAAGCCTCGCGGTGAAGAAAGCACTCGGCCCTACAAGGGGGCTGGTGGCCGCGCTTGGGTGGTTGGGAATTCACTGCATGAACATCGCCACAGTGCGAGTCGTTGGCCTGCTCAGATGTAGCGAAGTAGGCGGAGTCTCACTGGTCCGCTAGCTGTTGAAATGAGGATCCGATCATCTCCGATCAGCATGAAACAAACCAGGGCTCCAACGGCATCCAAGCAGCATAATAAACCAATGTTTGCTAGCTTTTCTTCCAATTCATGGTGTTGAACATGCCTCTTCTACAACAGTTTCCTCCATCCGTTCACCTAAAGGATTTGCGTCTTGGGATGTCTTGCGTCTTGCGGAAACGCTTCGAACTTGGGCTGGACAAGGCCCCGTCTTCGGGGCAGCTTTTGGGCTCATGGCAAAAGGATTACTGTACAAGATGGTCTTCCAGCCCTAAAGGCCCTAAGAATCAAGTGACATCGCCCAGCTTTCTTCGAAAGGTGAGGACCAGAGGTCAATCAAAGGAACGGACATAGTGAAGCAGATGGGCAGCTCCATGCGTCACTTCCCTTAAGAAACAGGCGCAGCATGGCACATCCAATGCTAAAACATGTGCAGTGCTGCAGATGAAGGTCAAGTCATTTGCATTTAGACCCGCGCTACTTCTTACACTAACAGGTATCTATAGGCTTTTCTCTTTCTCCTTCTATCTTCTGAGCATCCCAGCATGAAACGTCTACAGCATACCGCCCCGTTGAACCCTTGCTTCCAAGCGGTCCGATTCGTCGTGGATGAGCAGCATGGGCATCTACGACGACACGGCCATCGAAGGGATTTGCAGTAGATTGCGGGTCGCTGGGCGAACTGCGGTGCCCGTCGGTGTTTCGGTGGCCTTTTCGGTGGCCTTCCGCTCCGCGCAAGGAGGACGCAATGCTGTTTGGTTCCCTCTTCTTGGAGGAGTGGAGTTTTTGGTGAACCTCAAACATTTGTTCCCAATGGTGATCTAACTCTTCCAGGACCCCAGGCGCATTCTCTCCGGGCCGCTGTGGGCAACCCGATTTGGGGCGATTTTGGTGAACAGTCCGGACTTGGGACATCGCAGTTGGAGGGGTTGGGATGTCTGGCACCCTCATCAGACATCCAACTTTGCTTCTGATTTGGACATCCAACGGATCGTCATGGATCTGGTTTCTTTGGAGATTGCAATCCAAGAGATGCACACGTTGACACGCTTCATGGGACCCAGGAATATCAGAACATCATGGAGTCGCATCATGTTGCATCCCAATTTGTGCGATTTGTGGCCCAGAACAAGACAGGTCAGGTGCAAGCACCCCCACTCTGCCAAATGCTGCCCATGCCAATGAGATCCTTCAGAGTCAGAGGTCTGGAGAGATTCCACATCCGTTTATATCCGTTTTTATTTGGTTCATATCGCCGACATTGGGATGTCACAAGAGGGTTGGAAGGTCGTAGTCCTCCTTTCCAGTTGCCATGTTTGACGGACAGGACTTGCATCATGAAAGCGTGACGTGGTTGCCCCGAGCCGTCGTGGGTGGTGCCTGCAGAAGAACACACCATCCTGACAGCTCGCATCAGCCCTGGGATCACTCAAGACTGACTCTTTGCTTGCTCAGGTTCTGGTCCAGGATTCGTTTCAGCCACTGGCCAGCAGGGGCTTGGGTTTCTTAGGGGGTTCAGAAAACGGAGTGACACTCGATGTTTTGAGGGTTAGTCCAACCAGGGTGTGGGACTCTATGTCAAGGTTTTTAGGGTACAGATGAATTCTCCCATATTCTGCTATAGTGACAGCTGATGCCTGTACTCGTGACAAGGAGTCTTTGATCACATCAGATATGAGGAAGCATCTCTATGTCTCCGCGATCTTCTTTGCGGATCAGCTGGTCTCATTGCAAGGGCCGCAGCCGGAGGAGATCTATACTCTGGCTGAGTGCTACTTCAAGAATCGCGAGTACCGCCCCCTGTCTTCGTTAGGGCTCATCAGGTTCTTTGAAGTCTTGAGCATGGATTCATGGCTCTATTACATCTATTACTGTAGTAGCGTCCTTGCTCCTAGTAGTAGGGCCAGGAGCCCCTAGTAGCTTCTTGTTCCTAGTAGTGATGCCAGGAGCCCCGAACGTAGCGTCCTTGCTCCCAAAAAGGATCTGGAGGGTTCTGCGTTTTGCTTGGCAGACCCGTGGCCTTGGCCTTCAGGCCCCGGGCTCCTAAGGACGGGTTTTGCATTTGCTCAAGAAGTGCCTTGGCACCAACTGCTTGGCATTTCTGTGAGCTCCCGAGTCAAGGATCCAGACCGCTCCCGAGTCAAGGGTCTGCGAACTCCGGTCTTGTTGAAGTCAGTGTCAACCTTGGCCTTGACCACTCCGAAGGACCTCGGAGATGGTCTTGGTGGGTGAGTCTTGATGAGTCTTGAACCAGACTCGTGCACCATGGGTGTTCGGACTCTCTCTATATACTCACCATAGACAATTAGTGACACAGAGAATAGACCAAGCAGATAGACTTGTGGGACCTGGGATTCACATGCAGCACATGCATGTCACCGAACCACATCACCGAACCACGTTGGACCCGGACGTGTCGGTCCAAGGCATAACGAGGCCACGGAGAACAGCGATCGACTGAAACTGCTGGTGGCACAAAGCCTCATCGAATGTCGGGACTGGGAGGCGCCTCGTCCTGCTCGGGACTGGTGTATTATGTCAGTTGAGTTGGGTCCTCGGAACCCCGACACCTTCACCCCCTGAGTTGGGTCCTGTGCCGTTCAGTTCAGTTATGGACAAACTAAACTTGTTCCGATTTTGCAAGCACCTGAATGGATTAACATAGGTCGATGTTCGGCTGCAACGAGTCGGAACGCCCAAAAGGTCTGAGCGGTGTCGGTTTTTGTAACTCACCCAAGTGGACCTTATGCGGCAAAATCAAGCTCGATTGGCCTTTTCCATGTTTTGATGTGGGGGTCCTGTAGATGCCATTTTTTGGGGGGTCCCAAAGGCCTGGAGACTTCTAAGCCCAACTTCATGGCAGCACTCCTTTTTTCAGCAATTGGTATGTTCCGAGAGGGACTTAAGAACACAGCTGGTGACTGGACCTGGTTGATGGCAGGTTCCAGACTCAAAAAATGGAGAGGCAACCTGTTGCACCGAGGTGCCCCTGCCACTCATCCAAGGTTTGAGTTGAAAAGGGTGAAGGGTCGACCTCTGACTGGCCCCTTCTTGGATCTGGGGCCCCGTCATCCCATTGGCCTGGCGGTTGACCTGGAGTGTTTGATCTTGCCGTCACCCCATTCTAATCCACTTTGGATTCACAGAAGGGGCAGTCCCATGAACCCCGCATGACTTGCCGGGTTACGCTGCACGTGGTTTCTAAGGAAGCTCTCAGGCGATGGGTTGGGAGAGGGCTGTTTTGAGACTCCACCATGTGACCATTGCAGCTGCAATAGCATGCAATAGCTACATGTGTATATATATACACATACAAATAGTTGTAATGAATGTAGTATGGTTCTGTTTAGAAGATTTTGGAAGTGCATTCCTTTGGAACACAAGAAGGGACATGACATGAGCAACTTACCTTTGAGAGAGAGAGAGAGAAAGAAAGGGAGACTACTGATATGAGAGCTCGAGATGCATCAATCATGATCCTGTACAGAACTCTACCCTTTTGCAATGTCACGACGTCTGCTAACTCAGCTTTTGAACGCCAGATACCTGGAATGCAACTGGCCAGAAGACCAGGGCGCGTCCGACCCGTGCCATGGTGTCAACTAGAGCTGAAGAGTTCTCCTGAACCTTTCAGATTGTTGGCAGTTACAGGTCGGGTGCAGGCTGTCAATCATAGCCTTTACGACAGCTGAGCCGTTTAGAAGGTGTGCTTTGATATGTTCTGTATGCAAATTGCTTGATTAAGTATCATCAAACATGTTCTGTCCAGTCTGGTGGCATTTGCTCATCACACACCTTCACGGCCCCACTGCGGCCCACACGGGAGAAGCTCGAGCAACTCTCGGGAAAGCCGTGTAGAAATGCAGGGGGCAACCGGGCTCCAAGTGCCTCCTCAGAGGTTGTGACTTGGGGTATCTCCCTCTTCTGAGACATGTCGTCGTTCCTAGGAAGACGGCCGCCAGCTTTGCACTGCTGCGGGGCAAAGTCTACGAAGCCATGGAGAATCTGGAGCCCTGCAAGTGACTTACTGTTGCATTATATTTGCCTATCAGATCTATCAGCGATTACATGTGATATCATGTGATTATGATATAAGTTATATAAATATATTTTACACATATACAACAATATACTATATACAACATAAACAGAATATGAATGACTATATATATATATGTTCATATAACTATTGTAGTGATATTCATATGGTGAGCTGGGGGCTCGAGCAGCGGAAAGAGCTTGAATTCTTCACTCCTTGTCTAAAGAGGCACTTGTGGACCGATTTTGTTAATAGTTCATGGCAGATATCGTTTGCCATGGCGTTTAAGCAATAAACCAAACCACACGTGGTGAGGCACAGGACGTGAAACGATGTGAAACGCCACACGTTCCACGTCACCACCGCTCAACGTTTGTTTTGCTTTTGCTTTGAAAGAGCTCATGTTTGTCGAAGGACCATCTCTATGTGTTTTGTTTTTGTGTTTTTATATGCACATCTAAACCAAGTACTTTCAACATGTGTTGAGGTGACTAAACAAAGATGAACTGACTGCCAGAATTATCTCAAGCCGTGGAGTAGTGCAGGATTGTTTGACAGACAAGTGTTTTCAAAAACAAATCCGCAAGCGCCTTGGACTAAGGGCGCCGAGGGTAGCATATCCTAGTTTTAATCCTTTTATATAGTCAGTTTTGGTGAGGAAAACGTGTCGCACAACTAGACGCCCTTTTGTGCGTGCTTCCATGCCTCTTTGAGACTGCGCTCAGTGGAATGCTCTTAACTTTGTCCCTTCTTGCGACATAGCTGTTTCCGTAGGTGATACTGTGTATATATATATATACTGTATGTAGTACAGTATGTATAATATATATATATATATGTATATACGGTATGTATTATCTATATAGTATATATTCACCGGATATTTGAACGTATACCGCATCACTTCTTTCCAGGAGAATGCCCTCCTGACTCTTGGCGTCTCAAGTGAGCGGGCTGGTCCCAGCAATGGAGGGGGCGGCCCAGAAGAATGAAGCGGTGGGTCAAGCAGATTGGCAGTAGATTTCAGCAATGATGGAAATGACTCACGCAAAAAATTATCCAACCATTCCATTCTAAGCACATTCTTTGTGAAAGAGGTAGCCTGGCTTCTTCCGGCCCTATAGGGAGTGGCAACAATATGTTACTCGTCTTACTAAACGCTGGCCCAAAAGCGTGTTTCTTGACGTGTAAATCGGAAACTTGGTTGTGCAGGTGCTTGTTTTTTGGGCATTGTTCCTTTGGTTTCTTGAAGAGAAGCTAAGGTTGATGGAAGAACTCCCATACCAGAGACTGCCAGATTCCCCACTGTTTCCACCGCTTTGCGTTTTATTAATCGACGGGAGTGCGTTGCAAGGCTGAGGGACCACAGCCCAATGGTCCCATCCACCAACCGTTCACCAGACGTCCCAGGTGGTATGAGCAAGCTGCTCACTTGGATGCCTACTGCCACGAGGCACTCGAACGCTTGGCCACTTGGATGCCACACTTTCTGGAGACCTCCCGGAAGGAAAATAGACCCAAACCCACTGGGCCTGGGGTCTCCATGTTCACCGTTTCGCATCGCGGCGGTAGATATCGGCTCGGCAGATTTGCCAGTCTGGGTGGGATTGACACGCTGAACAACTCCGTGGCAAGCTGGGGAACAAGAAGGTCAAGCCATTTGGGGTTTTGCATGGTGTGGACCATCACAAGGAAGTCATGATTGCTAACGGCTCACCTCAAGAAGTTACAAGTTAAATGGGTGACCTTTGGGCGGAACAGTTTGCCTGCTGCAAGACGTATACCAGTACGTATACCATTTTGGCCAACCCCAAAGGCCTGCCCGCGTTGCCCGCATGGAACCACTTCCGGTCGGGTCGCTGCTCTCCGTGCGACAGGTGAAGGCACGTTAGCCGGATGAAAACAACACTCGTGGACCCCGAACGACCCGAATGATTCTCCCGTACTTGGCATGAGCTCAAAAGGCACAAGGCCCACAAGGCACTTGAAGTGTGTTTGACATAAGGTTGGTAGCCACTTGCTGACCATCGAGCGTGCAACTGGCCAGAATGGGCGCGTGCGACCCTTTTCCGGTACCTGCTGGGCTTCAACATCAAATAGGTTCAAACAGCATCACCAATCATTGGCCTCAAACAACAGCAACCAATTGCGGCCCAGGTGTGTAAGGGTTGACCACCTCACCAGGTGGTCATCCGAAAGTTGGGGTTTGGGATCTCCCAGATCTCTAACGGCTTTCCTTGGACGTTTGGACCTCAAAAACCCAGTGTTTGCACAGCGAATCGTCTCTGGAGTTCTGTTGAGTCCCGACGGGGTCCAAGCATGGGACACCAATGGGAAGAACCAAGACGTCCAGCCTTCAATCCTACCAAACATCCGGAGATCGCAATGGGATTGAATGGTGTCCTTGCGCCCAGCTACAATGGTGTCGCTGAGCCCCCAAAATCTTTGCAACATCAGGAGATTGCTCTTCTCAAGGGCTTGAAGCTACACAAGGAGGATGTGACCTGGCGTGTCGAGACCCGAAGCGTTGAGAGGAAGAGACGTAAATCAAACAGCCTGACGTGTGGCAAAGGAAACTCTACCCTCCCCACTCACTAACATGGAAGTGGAAAACCATGAAAACCCTGTGCTGGTTTAGCGTAGTTGCCGGGGTTAGGGGTTAATCCGAGGCATTTGCGCGGTAAACATGGTAAAAATCGACGAACAAAAAGAAACTGTTTTTACCGTTTTCCCCGCGGGGGCGCCCCTTTTTTCGTCTACCATATCCGCGGTAAAAACGGTAAACCTAAAAAAACATACCGTTTTTACCGGGGGGCGCCCCATTTTTTTCTAGCATATCCGCGGTAAAAACGGTAAAACACATTTTTATTTTACCATTTTTACCGGGGGGGGGCGCTCCTTTTTTTAAAACCATATCCGGGGTAAAAACGGCAAAAATTGAATTTGTTTTACCGTTTTTACCGGGGGGCACTTCCTTTTTCAATACCATATCCGCGATCAAAACGGTAAAATCAATTTATGTTCTTTTTGTACCGTTTTGATCGAGGGGGGCAAAAGGGTCTATGTTGTTTTTTTCAGTTTTTAATTGAGGGTCACCGCTGTTTCTTCTGCCATATCCGCGGTAGGTAAAAATCGAAAGTTTTCGATCCAAGTGATGCAGGCTTTCATTGCCGTGCAACAGTTAAAAGTCATGAAATTTTGATCAATCGCCAAACTCGTTTTGTCGAAAAGGGCACACGCTCCTATATGATAGGAGGAGTGAACCCCACCTGATTATAGGAAGATACCCGGGCTGTACCATTAAACCTTTTTGTTGACAGAGGTCTTCTAGCTTGCGACCTGGTCCCGAGGCATTCTCGCGGTAAACAAGGTCCAAAGTGAAAATTACAACTTTTGTTGTTCCCACTTTTAATGAAGAGTCGCTTGCTCTTTTTGCTTCTACCATATCGTTAAAAATCAAAGTTGTGATATTTTCCGTTTTTGTAGGTGGACTTGTCCTTTTCTTTTCTACCATCTCCGTGGCAAAAACCGCAAAAATCTGTGTTTTTAATCTTTTTTTTTCTGGGGGGCGCTCCATGTTTAAACTTTCAGATCCGCGGTAAAAACGGTACACATCTTTTTTTTTGCTGTTTTTACCGGGGGGCGCCCCTTTTTCTCTACCATATCCGCGGAAAAAAACGGTAAAAATCGAACATTCTATTTTTTTACCGTTTTTACCGGGGGGGGTGCTCCCTTTTCTTCTACCATATCCGCGGTAAAAACGGTAAACATCGAAGATTTAATTTTTTACCTTTTTTCCTGTGGGGTCGCGAAAGGATACCCCTTAGCAAAACAACGCTCGCGAACCAGCTTAGGGAAAACCTTCCCTGCGTGTAAAGGAAAGTCGTCTTACTCACAAGGGACCGTGCCACTTCAATGTTGGTCAGTCTACACGGTTGACACTGGGCCTTGTTAAGTAGATGGCTTCACATGGGGCCAGGTTCGCTCCAGCAGGGCCTGCCATCAAAGACCTCCAAGTTGGTTAACACCTGGTGGGGCGGGAAGGGCCCACTTTAAAGGCAAGCTAGCACCAAGCATGCTTGTGGTGCCACAGCCACCTTTGTTTGGTGTGGAGCTGTCTTCAAGATGGCGCCACCTCATGTATTTCGAGCATAGTGTTCCTCGCTGGATCTGGAGCTGCCCCCCGGGGCAAAAACAAAACACAACATGTGGACGGGATAGGAGAGCCAAAAGAGGTATGTACGTCATTGATCTATTGAAGCGTACTGGAATCTGAACTGGAACTGGTACAGGAGCGGGATCACCCCCTCCAACCACCCAGATACTTGGAACTGAAATTGGACCCCCCCTGCTGCGTGGAGCTGGATCTAGAACTGGAACTGTTCCAAGCACCCGGGACGCTCTGATTTCGTGTGCTTCTTCCAAAGGTGTAGGGAGTCACCCCCCCTTTCCTTTGTGCCGCTTCCGATTTCTCCCAATCGACAAGTCTCTCAGCCCTTCTGAAGCTTTCTGAAGCAATCAAGGGCACACTTACTTGGAGCCTTGAAGGAATGCTGGTTTAAAGTGTGAAGAGTGCCCACAGGCACCCTCACAGGTAGCGAATCAGCTTCATCATCTGGTGAGCCCACAATCCGCTGAAAGTTTGAGCACTGGCGGGCACCACGCCTTAGTGGGTCTCGAGGTGCACCACTTTTGCAACACACACACACATAGTAATGTAGACTGGACTGTTCATTGATACTACCCCCATATGAGCAACCGACAAAATTATTGGAGTATATACTAAATATGTAAGAGGCTGCCTTGTGCTTATAGAGAAGTGAAGAAATCCTTGGCAACCGCCCAGCACGGATACCCCTATACCTCCCAAGATTGTTTTGGTTGTTATTGTTTTTTTTTCCTCGATGGCTGTGAATTGGAATCCAAGGTGCTATTCAATAGGTTATGTTGCGGGAGCTATCACACCATTGTCAAGCGAGTTCGCAGATGAGGTTTCATTAATGAACAACAGTTGGGTGGTTACGCCGTGGAATGAGGGAGCTCTCACGGACAGCTCAACCGATACTAGCCGATACCATCTTTTGCAGATTTACATGCTTTGGTGCCCCTTGTCCCATTTGACTATATTCAGGACCATTGCGGGTGTCTATGCAGATCTCTCATGTGTGTAGCTGCAGTTTTCATTTCTTAGCATCCACATGGTAGGAGTGGTTTCACCTGATTGCAATGTTTCCCTGCGGGTGTTTACAGTAAGGCGAGCAAGGAAGTACAAGGAGGCATTAGAAGATTCTGCAAACATGTACAAATCACCAGATGATGCAGACATCCAAGAGGAAATTGACAAAAATATTAGCAGACTACAACTGAGGAGACTGAGGAGCAAACACAAGCAACAACTTTTGGTCAAGCAATAATAAAGCATTGTGAAAGCAGGTCGGTCAGAGCACCAGCTCAGAATCCAGCTCCTCGAGTTCAATGTCAGATAACACCAAGTTGAAAAAGGAGATGCTACTCTGCTGTTTGCTTCCACAAGCCTTTCACAAGGTACTCGCAGTTTCAAGCCTCGAACTGGAAACACAACCGCGCAGCAAACGCAACATGGCAAGCCCGGCAAGCCCTTCACAACCGATGCTTCACAAATGACACCATCATGACATCACATTTCAAATGCCTAATTCTTCACAACCGATAGGGGACGACGACCCAGTTGGGCATATGGCATATTGCATGAATAAAATTGAATAAATAGTTTTGTCCGCACCTCATATGAAGAGGTCTTACAGTCCCAAATGGGGGGGTTATAAACAGCAAGAGTCTATACGCTTCAATATGTAGAATCTTTATTAACAACCTCCTAATGAGCGAAGAGGCTTTGCGGTCCCGAACGGGGGCGGGGCCATAAGAGTCTATAACAGGGCGCACATTTCCACCGTAAAATGCGAGTGGTGTACCTATGCATATGTTGTTTTAAGTCCCCTACCCTTGGAGGGGTCAGGTTCTGATTTTATAGAGACACTGTGTGTGTGTATGATGCTGCCGCTGCGTTTCAACTGGAGTTTCAGCACCAGGAAAACGGCAGGCCAGAGGAGGCAAGAATAAATCATAATAGAATGTTAGGGGCCAAGACCAAGATCTTCAAAGACCAAAACATCCAAGAAGGTCAAAAACGCAAAACTCAACATCATGTTTTTCCCCACCTGCCAGGTGAGGGTTGTTAGATTTTATCACAGTTGTTCTTCCTCCGCCTCCGCCGCCTCCTCCGCCTCCTCGTCCTCCTCCTTCCTCCTTCCTCCTTGCTTCCTTCCTCGCCAATCTTCAGTCCTCCTCCTTCCTCCTTCCTCCTTCCTCCTTCCTCCTTGCTTCCTTCCTCGCCAATCTTCATCGGCAATCTGCTTCGCCGATCTTGTCTGGCCAGCTCCGGATCGCAGTGTGCACCCCTGGACCTCAACCGCAAGGATCCCCTCGCAGTGTGCACCCCTGGACCTCAACCGCAAGGATCCGATCGCAGTGTGCATCCCTGGACCTCAACCGCAACGATCCGATCGCAGTGTGCACCCCTGGACCTCAACCGCAAGGATCCCCTCGCAGTGTGCACCCCTGGACCTCAACCGCAAGGATCCGATCGCAGTGTGCATCCCTGGACCTCAACCGCAAGGATCCGATCGCAGTGTGCACGCCTGGACCTCAACCGCAAGGATCCGATCGCAGTGTGCACCGCTGGACCTCAACCGCAAGGATCCGATCGCAGTGTGCACCGCTGGACCTCAACCAGATAGTTTGCCAGATAAAATCCACAAACACACAATCACAAACACACGACCACAAACGCGCAACCACAAACACACAACCACAAACACAATCACAAACCCACAATCACAAACACAATCACAAACACACAACTACAAAGACACAATCACAAACACATAACCACAAACACAAAACCACAAACACACAACCACAACCACACAACCACAAACACACAATCACAAACACAATCACAAATACAATCACAAACACGCAACTACAAACACAATCACAAACACACAGCTACAAACACAACTACAAAGACACAATCACAAACACACAACCACAAACATACACACAACACACAACCACAAACACACACACAAACACACAACCACAAACACACAACCACAAACACACAACCACAAACACACAAACACACAACCACAAACACACAACCACAAACACAAACACATCCACAAACACAACCACAACCACACAACCACAACCACAAGTACAAACACACAATCACAAAGACACAACCACAACCACAAACACACAACCACAAACACAACCACAAACACACAACCACAAACACACAACCACAAACACAACCACAACCACAACACAGCACACAACCACAGCACACAACCCGAAGACCCACAAACAACATCGAGAACTACAATACTAACGACTATGGCAACATGCTCCTCACTATGGCATCAAGACAAATGATTGAAATGTCATGGTGGGGATCACTCGAAGTAAAGTAATTATTTTTTTTGGTAAACTAAGTTTTGATTTGTTTTGGCAATCAATGTTTTGGAAGCTTTTGGGATGCCAAGCAGACATACTTGGCGTTTGAAAAAGAATAAGGCGTGTTGTCAAGCAATCAGTACCAATGATGTGTGATCAGTCATACATGAAGTTCAACGTCAGGTGAGGTCATTTTAGGCAAAAGCTGTGGAGGTCAGGTTCTTCAAGTTAGGGTACCCCTGGGGGGTTGGCTCCACCGCTTTATGTCTATAAAATGGGGGTAAGGACCCCCCAGAAGTTGCACGTAGATGATTATATATATATAATATATATATATATATATTAATCGTCTACTTATAATGTAATAGATCTGCCCAATTATCAGTTGTAGAACGATATATTTCTATATGTCATCGAGGTTCTACATTCACCGGTCCAGTTGGTGCCGCGCCAGCCTTTCCAAGCCACCTCTCCGAGGAATGGCTCCGACACCTCTACGCCGTGACTGGGCGTTTCGCTTTGGTTCAGAACGCTTCGGCGGCGGAGGAGCCGGGCAAGATGTCTAGAATGGAGACAAAATTAGAGACAAGCATATAAAGAGAGAGAACAATTTTCAAACAAACGCCACAAAGGCTATAGGTTCGTCCCATTCCCACTCAGAGACTGTTGGTCGGGTTGTAGGTAGGGCAAAGGCACTTACAAGAATTTGGTTTCTTGAAGCGCTGTGAGTGGTTATCAATCGGATAGATCCGATCCAGTCCAGTGCTGGAGAGGTGTAGCTTTCAAGAAGACCAATATCAGCGAAAGTGCCCACCACCTCCCAGTTTTGATGACAAATATATGAGCCTGAATCGCCTACTCCCAAGCACAAGTCTTTGCGACTTCATTGTTTTGAACTACCATTGCAGATTGATGTGGTTAGCTTTTTGCACAAGTCGTTGCCAACTCCGCCCTGCTTATGTTTCGATAATTTGCATTATATATAATATAACTTTGAATCTATCTAAATATAATATAAGTGTAAAGATTGAACCTGACAGATCAACATACTCGACGAACCTCCAGTGGAACGGCGGCTCACACATTGATGTGCATGAAATCCCGGGGACTCTAGCTGCCGGCTGCTGCTTGCTGCGTGCTGCTGCTGGTGCTGCTCAAAGGTCTAAAAGGTCTTTTCAAATGGCCGTTTGCTTTCATTCTTTCTCGCCACATGACTTTCTAGCCTCGTTCGGGCTTCGGTGTTTGTTTCAGACCATCTCCGCAAACCTGTTCATGTACCTGCTAGCAGCCAGGTTGGCAGGGCAGCGGGCCGCAATTACACATATCCAATCCATTTGGAAAGGTGACATGCTGCAGCAACTGACCCGGGTGACACCCAAACTGTCACAAACCGCCATGTACGCCCTACAAAAGCAATTTCATCGCACACACATTTTCTGTTTGAAACCGGCAGGGCACATTTGTCCCGAGCATCTCATACGGTACGGGGCATGCCGGAAAACTTAATGATGAATTTCATGAATGTACCAATGGACATGTAGCAACATGTCACCAATTTCGGACCATCAGGACCTGTCAGCTCAGGGTCACCAATGGACCAGCCCCAATCATTGGGCTCCGAATCCAGATAAACACAGACGGTGTGGATCGATCGAACCGCTGATCAGGGAATCACATGCAATCACAATGTATTTGAACCCTTCAGGCTAAGCTGACTGCCAGCCGAAGCAGTGATGAGAACCCTTTTGCAGAGGCACGATGAGAACCCGCTGTGGGGTCAAACCGCATGAGCGGTTGATTGGTGTCTTACATGACTCGGCGAAGACCAAGCGGTTTCTGGACATTCAGTTGGCGGACACAGCAGAAGCTGCCTGACTTGTCACTGTTTCAATCAAGGCGGGCCCGGCCTCACATATAGGATAGGATAGTTGCCACATGAGTGCCATGCAAGAACCTGTTCTTGTGCGACCAGCAGCGGGTGAGTTTTGTTGGCCTCAGGCTGCCTCTGGAGGCGTCGGCAAGGGGAGACACACGGTGCGACGGGGTGTTCGGCCCACAGTATTAACATCGTAGCATCCTCCTAGATATTTTTAAAGGAGTGTTCTTTATAAGGTCATGAAGGAAAGGTCAGAATCAGACACGTTTTTTTTTTCCCCGCATCGTGCTTAGATAACTACTCGCAAAACCATTCAGATCCAGATGTATGCGATTTGTTGTTCAATAGTGCTGTGCGCAGGTTTTGGTTTGAATAGAGGGTGTGCCGGGACAAAGGGGCAGTAACCGTAACCTCTGGGAATGAAAGATAATGAAAGCATTTGGCACTCGCAAGATTTGACGTCTACATGGCTCAAGGGCAGTACAATGTTCATTTTCCTCCGCTGAATTAGCTGACTGGAACGAGAGACGTTGACAGCAGGAGGAACCATTTGTTGCAATCATCGGCATTCAGTAGCTCGAGCATTCTTGCTTGCAAGGTTTGTTTTATCACTCAGGACATCGGCTATTCCATGCGATTCACGCAATGCCTGAAGACCCAATTGGGCCTCCAACAACTCCTTTGATTCTCAAGGAGGTTTTTGAGCAACAATGTAAGATCTCTCTCATGATGGACTAGTGGATCCAGGGGCTGAGAAAGCACTTTGGTGCTGAGAAAGCACTTTGGTTGAGTTGGATTGTAACTTTTCTCATAGTGGCTATGGATGACCTACAGCCAACCTCATTTAGTCAACGCATCGAAAACCTCGCATTGCTAGTAGCCAGGTGCGCCGAGTGTTCTGGGCGACTGGCGCAACAGGAGCGTTCGCGACAGGTTTCGGGAGCCCATGGGGGCGGCATGGAGCCCCGGGTCAAGCTCGGGAGAAACCCCCACAAAGGAGCTCAGACTGCAAACGTTTGGTTTTTTGGACCGGGGAGGGCTAAGTGCCGCAATGCTGACTCCATTCACTTGGAGATCGTCCGATTCCGCGTGGGCATGATTTTGGACCAGGGAGGCCGCGTGTCCATCCTGTTGAGAATCTGTTTTTTGAAAGATGACGACTGGAACCGGACCACGGCCACAGTAGATCGACCCAGCTGTCGCTGGGGTTTTGGAAGGTGAGGAGAGATGAACTTTGGCTATATCTGGTGTGGAATTCGAATCAACAATATATAACCAACCATCAAGGGTGCCCTGCCAGTATCATTACATAGCTGTGGCAGATGAGAACAAATGGCTCTGAACTAAACTAGTCGCCCCAGCATCAAAAGAACCTCCGCTAGGCAAGTGTGACAGCTGAACATGCAATTGCATCCAACTGCATGCTATTGCATTTTCACGCCATGTGCCCTTCTCACAACCATCAAAGTGGACTTCACCACCTCAAAAGGTAGAGGAATTCATCGTCCTTTCGGGCCAGAGCATCCATGTAACCATTTGAACCATGGAGGGAGGGCAATGGGTGAAACGGGTTTTTACCACCACAAACCACCGGGTCCGGGGTTGTTGCAGAGTCGAAGCGTTTGGAATCTCGGTTCGGGTCGGTCTGCATGATTTGGATGCACGGCCGGGGGGGCATTGGAAGGTGTTTCGGCTGGATCTTGCACCTGGGAGGATGATGGAGTGAAGTGTTGGAACAGCACATTTGCAGTCTGCAGCGGAGGGTTCCCCAAGCTGTGCTCCCCCATCCCCTGTATTTCCCCATTCTCCGGACAGCTACAGATACGTTTGAAGACGAAGACCAGATGGAAGACAGGTCGCAGAAGTTCCACCAACCGCAGAAGTTCCACACTGATAGGCCAATATTTGGCGGCTTACGGTATTGTGTGCAACTTATATATATTTTCAATTTAGCTTTATACGTATACCATCGTATACCGTATGGGTATGATTTGCAAATGGTAACGGTACGCCCCTTTTTCCGTACCCCCCAGATGAGAAATCGACCAAACTGGGCAGGGGTTGAACTTTGAGCATCGAATTCTTGATCCTCGTTTCACCGAACTGCCTTGGGTAGCCATGCAGCAAACGTGTCGGCAAGAGATCTCCTGTATCCGCAAACGTGGGCTGGCTTTGGGGCTCCTTTCGTTTGGTGTCTTGGGTAGCCTGATAGCTTTGAAGCTGCACGGGGTGGAGGGCCCTGGCTTTTGGATGTTGGGCTTGTCATTGGGCTCCTGGGATTCCAGAGCAGTGATTTTGTTGAGTGCTTTTGCTTGGAGAAGTTTTATTTTTACACCAGATTGCATCCTGACAAAGTGGAGAATCGGGTACTGTACTTCCACCTCCAGTGAGAAAAAACACCGATTGGAAGGATTTGTGCCCCGAAGTAGTCCAGTTCGTCCAGTCATTGAGAAGGCTTGCTGCTGGGTGTGGTCCATGTTCCTGAAAGCGGCGTGCTGCGGAATGTGCCCACTTGTTGTCGCTGGGGCTTTGGCGGAGTCGTTGTGCTTTTCACGGTCTATTCCGCCACATATCCTTGGCATCGGTTCCCATCCTACCTGGGTTCTTATCATGAAAGCGCCATGAAGGACAAGTGGATGTTGTTTGTTGCTTTGATGATCTTGGCCTTTGTTTGTATTCTTTGCCTGGTGAAGCCACATCCTCCTTCGACCTACGCGCACGATGCCAAGTGGTGTATGTTTGGAATGCTCTTCGCTGTTCTCACTTACCACAGCTTTGGCGAGGCCCATGCGTCCGTGTCAACTGGAAGCTTCCGACTTGCTTTGTCCACGGCAGTGCATGGAGTGGTACTCGCTTGGGTGATGATCCTGCTGGAGGCTCGCATGAGGCTACTGAGCAATCGGTCAACAGCTTGGGTTTGGATCTATGCCACTTTCATTCAGCATGATGCGTTTTCCTTTGTCCGTCTAATTTGCGTGTTCACGTAGCAAGATCATTTAATATCACATATGATCCATATGATCTCAAAAGATATATTTGATATAATATATGTTAACTTATTCTTTGCATGTCCCGTTCGTTTGGCACGCTCAAGGTCATGTGTGGCCTGTACGTGTCGAGCCCCATCAGCAAATGCATCAGCCGCAGATGGAACGACAAGCTGGGGCAGATAACCTTTTTGCTCACCAGATACCTGTTCCTTTGCATGTGGATGCCCGGACGTGCTGGTGCTGAAGGGTAGTTCCCCCCCCGTTCCACAAAAGCGTAGGCAGACTTTACAGCCCTGGAAGTTAGATCGAGATTGATGGAAGCCGCACTGTATATGCACTGTATGTTTGCTTTGGCATCTCACTGTGCCCAGGACGTTTTACAGCATCCGCACCTGTCGGACCTTACTGCGAGGCTTGCAGGCCTTGCGGTCCGAGAGCAGGCGTGTGAGTGGCGTTCCCGAGCAGCAAGCCAAGTGGGCTGCACAGGCCAGGGGATACTTTTGCAGAGCTTTGCAGGGCTCAAACACTTGTTTGGAAGATGTATAAAACCCCTCCTGCGCGCGCCAAAAAGGAAACTTCTTTGATGTTTTATGCAGTCTAGCTCAGCATCAAACACGGAGACCGACCCATCCAAAAACAAACATTTAAAAAGATTTAAAAAGAACGATCCGGATTTGGGTTAGTTCATGTTAGTTCCTTTGGTGCCTTTGTGAAGAAAGGTCCTGCAGATGGAATTGTTTCTGGGTGCTGGTGTTTTTCTGATGATTTTCCTGACCGTGTTCATCATCAATTGCATTCGCATCATTGAGCTCGTGCGTCCGGAATACTACGAGACTCATTTGCGAAATGACACTTGTGACGTCTTTCCCGGCTTCATCGATGTCCCGATATCTTCCTCCTTCGTTTTTGCATTTCTGGTATTTCTGGGGCTGCCTGAAGTCAGCAAGATCGTATTCGTTTTTCCGGCTCTTCTTCTCCACCCGTTCTGAAGCCTCAATCCCACCCAAGGAGAGGAACTTGGATTCTTACTGGACCTATGCCACGGGCTTTCACTGTTTGAACTCGGTGGTGGTCACGGTGAATTTGGCCCTCTTCTCAGGGATCCTTTGGCAGGGAAGCCCTCCTGGCGAGAGTGAGCTTGACTGCTCCCCAAAGGCGCCCAGCATCTCCATGTGCCGCGGAGGTCAAAGGAGCACACCTTCTTTTCGACCTGCACGGGTTGGCGTCACACGTTTTTTTGTCTTCCTGTTTGGTTGTGGACACGGTTTGTGTACTCTACTTTCAATTTCAGGTCAACACGCATTTTTCCCTTTGGTAGTGCACTTAAGTTTATGACATAATCCCGTGGGAAGAGAGAAGAGATGCAGAAAACAAAAGGATAAATCAAAAAGCGACAGGGAAGACAGGTGAGCAGAGTTGTGATTGCTTTGGGTGGTCTCATTCGCAAGCAGACACGTAAAGCTGCATGAAAGTCCAGGCTTGCAACTAACATCAGTATGGCTGACTTGTAACTTTGGGATGGATGATTGATTGACGTGCAGTGCGTGCAGGGTGTGTCCAGGTCATAGACTTGCAATATCCCATCATATTGCCATACATTGCCGATTTCTCTGACCCCTGCCCTGGAGGTGAGACTTTCAAGCTTCTTTTGAGCCCTACAGTGCCCTACAGATTTCTGTTTAGTGCCTCGCTACTAGTAGCTTCGTGTTACTAGCAGATCCCCCTTGCTTGCGCCATACTGAAATCCTAGGGGTAGACGGCCAGAAATGAAAAAACAAAAACTTTGAAAAACAAAACAAAAAAAACAAAAATAAGGAAGTCAGGTAGGACCCCAGGAAAATACACCAGAAATGTGGCTTTTTTGAATTCCTTTTGCTCAAGGTTAGGCGCCAGGATTCCAAAAACACGTTAGACTACAGGATTTTACTAAAGCTGTAGGATTTCACAAGGTAGAGATGCTGGGGTTGGGCTAGGATTTTAGAGATACTGGAGAGGAGGCTTTTCGTGGACAGTTTTTGTCAACCTCTTGCTGTACCCCAGCTCCGAAACGCACAGAGAAGCGGCACAATGCAACCAAACTTTCAAGCGCAACGACACCCTGCAGCCCGACCAGCACCTACGCTCCAATGCGCACACGCCCACGCTTTTTGCAGCCTGGAAGCTTGTATCCATCGAAAAAATATGTCCAGGGGGGATTCGAACCACAACGTCACCGAATCGCCTAGTGGCACCACAACGTCGCCTAGTGTCTAGTGGTGCGTATGGGGCCATGTAATCAAGCAATTTAATTATAAACAATTTACAGGCACATTTTTTTGGAGTGGTAGCTGACAGAGAATTCGGGCCATGTCTTTGCAAACACCAGAGCACCATATATGTATAAAGTAAAAACGTCTTTTACTTTTACCATTTGCCAAGTAAAAGATGTCTTTCACTGAGTCAGGACGTCTTTTGCTTCTTGTAGTTGCCGTTGTAAAAGACGTTCTTTACGGAGTAAAGTCCTGCTTTGCACCATTTCCACGAACAGTTTTTGGAGGTCAACTTTTGCTATCAGTTTTGCAGAAAATAGATGAAAATAGAGCCCAGTAAAACGAGGCCTTTGACTTGGAGGGTATGCGTTTGGGAGGGCACTGGAGGGACCAGCTAAGGTAGATACCCAAGATTTAATTGAGCATTTGATCAGCCCGGACTCCTTGTTTTTTCCTTGGTTCCCAACCCCCTGAACACACGTTGGTCCAAAGGATTTTATAACAAGCACCTCTTGGGAAAAAAACCTAGGGCACCATTGAAAAAATACTAAGTCACCTTGGTTTTGTAGGATTTTAATACGTACAATCCTGGGGATCTACCTTAGCTGTTGGTACCAACGGGGATCTAGCAGTAAAATGCCCTTGTTACTAGTAGCGACGCACTTGCTCCTAATAGCTTCTTGTTCCTAGTAGTATGCGATCGGAGCTACTTACTAGTTCGTAGCGTCCGATCGCGTTCGTGGCGATGCCCGTGTTCTTTCCGAGGTTAGACTTTCTGGACGGGTCCCAGCGAGCCGTTTACACCCAGAAGGTCTCGGACCTGGCTGGGCGCGGTGTCCACTTACGCTTCCTACTGACACTTGGGGCGTGACGGATCCGGGGGGCGGACGGATCCTCCATGGATGGGTCTTTTTGGGGTAAGGATGTTGAGGGGGTTCAAGTGGTACCTGAAAATGTGTCCCTCTTTGGATTTCTCTTTGTGGGACAATGCGGCGTGCACGTGTTACAAGATCAAAATATGATAAGTATGTTTCCCAGAAGCCTTGCGCGAGTCTTTAAGGTGACCATGCCTTTGCCAAGGCAAGAAGGGAATGGAGCCACCATGGCTACAACTCTTGACTTGGGTCCTTGGGTCGTCCAACCCAGACTTTCATGTTCCCCTATGTTCCACTATCCTCATCCACATCCAACCAAGGAACCAGGGATGAGCTTGGCGGGTGGTTCTTTCATGTTCTGTCAGGAACTTCTGGGAAGAGCTCCTGGATGGTCATTTGATGCCCAGCTTCGACCCTCGCCGGTCCCAGACCAACGACGTGGTGCGACAGGCCATCATTCCCTCATCTCGGGTGGGAGATCGCGGCCGTGCATTGGCAGAGATTTGGGAAGAGCGGCCGGTACTTCCGCAGCTCGGTCGAAGGATGGCGTGTTCTTTTCCTTACTACTTGTGCTGTAAGTCTGCCAGGAATGGTTGGTTGGCATTTTTGGGGGCCAGTGATGGCCAGTACTTAAGTCATGCGAAACAGATCTTTGACAGCACGTTCGATCCGAGATCGAAGATTCCCGGGGGCGAGCTCTTTTTCTCTGTCTTTTCCGGCCCACCTGCAACGTCGAACTTCGATGCCCAGGCAGAACATGGTCACGCACCACTGGAAGAACCGATTCGCCCATTTGCTGGGAGCGATCTTGGCCGATTCATGGCACCGAAGAGATCGGATGGACCAAAGACACATGAGGCACAAAGTGCAACTGGCCAACTCTTTTCTGGCAAGCATCACATAGCATCACTGTAGAGTTCAGTAGGGGCCCTTGACTCACAATTCACGAGCAACTTGCTGGGCCGGGAGAGATTGAGTATAAGATCTATCAGCCATCCAAGGATGCTCTCCACATGCACACCTATGCCGAGCTCGCTGAAGAACTGGCGACGCCTGACGGGGTAGCATCCATCCGAGAGAAATTGCAGAAGGCCAACGTGCTGGAGGCCACTTATTGGGTTTGTGCTTTTTCAGTGAATCAACATGCCAGCATTTGCACCTTGGAATTGCGTTTGGATGTGTTTCATCGTTTGGATGCTGCAGGTCCTGTATCCCTTTAACATCCTTTAACATCCGGACCCAATGTCAGTCGCAACTGCGCATCAACAGATCCAGCAGCGAAACCTTCAAGGGGCCTGTGAAGCGGGGGGCGCACACGAGCTTCCTTCGATTGGTGTCCAGCGGTCGGTTCGCTGAGGTGGAGGTTATGGACCTGAACCGACTCAAGGCACTTCACAATGGACCGAGTGGGACGAGAAAAGGCCTGGATGTTTTTGCCCGAAGGCGTAGCGAAGGGCTCTCGTTGAACTCTGGTTCGCCGTCGTTGGCGGTCGGGTGCTATGGCGCTGACATTGGGCAAAATTTTGGAGAAGGGTTTGGATGGATGCACGACGTGTCAGATTCGTGTGAAATAGCAAGGAAACATGTTGAAGCGAAACGGCTTGAAGTGTGTGGGTTCCTGTTCTACTTCCACGCAGTCCACACGGGCCTTGGATCTTCAATTCATGAAGAGAGCAAGAAAGACCACTGGTTTGAGCCTGAGATTGGATCCCAGGAGTGTTTGATCATTTTTTCTAATTTTCTTGCTTCATGACAGCTTTGATGCCGGTGTGTGCGTGTGCGTGTGATCTTTCTGTTTTGTCTGGAGGCTCATCCCAATTTTGATGTGTTGCCTTGGCTGGCTGGCAGGAAGCACCTGCAGCTTGTTCGCTGTACCCTCCTGCTGCTCTTCCTTGCCTTGCCTGATTGCCAGTGTGAGTATCGCAAGCCATTTTTTGGTTGAGCTTGGTTGGGACTGTACTGACAGACTTGGCCGTGGGCAGTTTGACTAGGATCTTCGGTAAGCGGCGCATGCAGACCCGCTTTTCCAGCTAGAATGGGCACTAACAGCGTGATCACTGTATTCTCCTGCTGCGCTTCGTTGCTTTGCCTCATTGCCCGTGCGAGCATCGCAAGCCAAATTTATATTTGTGAACCTTTGTTCGTGTGTAAGCGTTTCACTGTCAGTTAGCAAGCTGTCACGTGTTGTGGTGCGACAGATGCCCAGACCTCTCTGCACTTCTTGCACTCTGGTTTTGCCTGGGTTTGGTTGAGCCTTTTCGGGATCGTGTTGAGCGATTTTGCCGTTTTGCCGTGGGCAATTTGACAAGGAGCATCGACAAGCAACCCGTGAAGACTCGATGGATTTTACCTGCTATAGAAAGTGTGGACGCCAAAAGATTTTGCAAGCCACATGCCGTAGCAATCTAGCATGTCTTTTAGCTTTTCGTCTTGTGCTATGAGCAGTACATTGTGGTTCGGCCGAGCCGCGAGGCTCTAGCCAAATCAATTTTCTCGGGGTGCGTGGTGGCAGCGGAGGGGGTGCCTTAGCAGCGACCCGCCAGAGACGGGATAAAGAGAGCTGAAAGGACTAAAGGATATACAGGAGAGCTTTGCCCAACCACAGAACAAAGCAACTCCTCCCCACGAAGCCCGGGATAAAGAAACGTATTCCACGTCGTGGAAAGAGTATCTCTGCTTCTTGAGGCATTGAAGACGGTAGTTGCCAGGGCAGGATACTATCACAACGATTTGCTACCCTAATCTGGTGGCAGCTGCTGCCAATTGGAAAATTTCCACCGTGGAAGCGAAGCCAGACGCGAAAGTAAGGCCAAAGGCAAAGCAAAAGCCTGATGCCAAGTTCAGAATCCACAGCCAAGGCCGAGCTAATCGGCCCCGTACTCTGACAACAAAACCCACTCCAAAACCAACTGGCCAGTTTTCCACCTATGGAAAGATCCGGCGCAACCAAACATTACTACCAAAGCACGAGGCACCTGCCGCCGCTGAGGCGGCTGTCCTCCGCCTCTCACTGGACAAGCAGTTTGTTGGTGAGGAAGAATCTAAGAATGGAAGAAAGCCATTGAAGCCTGCCAATGATTGTCCAAACAAATCATTGCTAAATATGGATGGAGTATTTTGACCAAGTTATTGCTTTTTCAACATGAATGCTTCTCGTATGGGCTAGGTGCTTCCTTCGGCATTTGGACCCCTTCCAGACCAGATTGCAAACCCAAACCTGCTTGATTCGGTACCAAGAACCCAGAGCTTTGAAAATATTTTGCGAATTGCTCACCAAAGCCAGTGGACTGATGTGGCCCCCTGTCAGCAAGCCCCAAGGCTTGCAGGGATGGATTGTTCGAGCCAATGCGCCAGACACTGCTACCTGCCATGTTCTTGACTCATTAAATGCCGTTGGAACAGCTTCAGTGGTCACCTGGGTGACAAACCAAGCAATTGAGAGCGGTGTGCCGTGTAGCACGACGTTGACAGCTTCAGTGGTCACCTGTGTGACAAACCTAGCATGAGAGCTGTGTGCCGTGTAGCACGACGTTGGAACAGCTTCAGTGGTCACCTGTGTGACAAATCAGGCAGTTGAGCGGTGTGCCGTGTAGCACGATGTTGGAACAGCTTCAGCGGTCACCTGTGTGACAAATCAGGCAGTTGAGCGGTGTGCCGTGTAGCACGGTGACAATCAGCGTGGGCTGTTGCAAAGGTCAACACATACTGTACACGGAATTCCTTTGTCATTTTTCCTTCAATGGTTCAAGTGATATGGAAATTTAGCCAAAGCAAGCCAACGCGGGTGGGCAACCCCAGAACCATGCGGTACTGCGCTGTTTGCGCCCGGGGCTGCAGCTGCAAGTTGCCAAAGAAGAGGGGCCTTGGCCAAATCTGCTGGCAGTAGCCAGCCCGAAAAGCTACACTGTCGGCTGCTAAGAAAAAGTAATTCTTGAATGCAGCCACAGTTCAATTCCTTGAAATGCATCAAATCGGCAAGGCGTGTCTTTTCTCAGGCGGGCGCTTTTAGAGCGCGCTGGCATGGCTTCCTTCGGAAAAGCAAAGCCACGAGTAGGCGCCTCTTTCATGGGTTCGAATTTCTGATAATTTCTGCTAGCCTTAAATCGGGTCACCAGATCCAACAGTTCCAGTGGCCATTGCCTACTCCGCCTACACTGTTCACTATACACAGTTTGCCAACAAGTCAATATCCGCAGACATCCATGGCTCGTACAAAGTGCTCTGGCAAGGCAAAGCCACGCCGCGACACGTGCAATTGCTGTGTGTGTGACACAAAGCATAATACAAGAGACAGCGCGCGGATGCCGTCGCGATCACATTGTGATTGCTCAGATTCCAAAGCACTGCGCATTGCTAGCCCCAATTGTGAGATTACTGCTTCACAAATTGAGCGCCGTGCTGGATAGCGCACGAAAATGCTGAAATTTGAGTGTCAACAAAGTATCCCAGCCAGCCTTCTTAGCAGTGTATCGGATGCCAGCAATATCAACCGACGCACACAGGTCTCTTGCAAACATAGGATGCGCACAGCTGCTGACCAGCCACATGCTGGTACTGTGATTTTGTCTCGAAAATTTCAGGTCCCTCGGCCCTCGAGCCTCAAGATCTATTGTTTCTCGGCAGACTTATGGCAGTCAGCGTGCGCAAGCCACGCGCCAGACCTGTTTTCCTTTTAAATTGCTACCTTCCAGCCTCCAACGCCACTCAGGTGGCTGATGCTGCGGCTGCAGCATTTGAGTTGGCGGCGTCTACAGTGAGGTGAGCAATGAGGTATGATAGTGGGTATGGTAGGTGATTTTAACATGGGTGCCCTAGAACAGTGTCCCACAAGAGTGTCCAACCAGAGTGTCCCACAAGAGTGTCCCACAAGAGTGTCCCACAAGAGTGTCCTACAAGAGTGTCCCACAAGGGTGCCCAACAACAGTGTCCCGCAAGAGTGTCCCACAAGAGTGGGTGTCCTACAAGAATGCCCCAATGCCCCACACAAGTGCCCGACAAGAGTGTCGTACAAAAGTGTCCCACAAGAGTGTCTACAAGAGCACCGCCTACAACAGGTTCTCACGAGAGCAAACAATGCTTGGCCGTTTGTTTTCGATTGCGTGTGTGCATTCGGGTTCGTGGGTTCCATTTTGTTTTCTTTCGGGTGGGGCATGGTGAAACAGAAGGTCATGAGGTTGCGGTTGAAGTTTTCTTTCACCTGCTTTATCATTTTCCTGGGGGCCACGCGCAAGTTCGGCCAAGTTCTCCCATAGGGGATCTTCTTGTACAACATACACACAAATTGATTGTACTGTATACAGCACGGCCCGTACTGTATAATATTTCGCAATACGTGCACTCCAAAACATTAACAGGCCATTGGGAAGGTTATTTTCATCGAAAAAGTTCCACTTGCACCTCAGCGAACCAAACGGTGCATCCATAACTGTTAAGCTTTACACATATGCAGTAGAGCGACGTTTTGTTTTGCATGGACACCATGACGTGCTGTCAAGGTTCTGTGATTTGGACAGAATCCCAAAGTATCCCAAAGTAATGTTTGATTTCACACCCCAAACCAAGGGAAAAACTTGAACGAACCACTGCCGAGCCACATATATATACATATATTAAAACACGTAACCTAGTATTGAACTGACAACACATCGGGGGTCACTGCTTAGCTCGTGAGTGATCAATCTCAGTTGGGTTTTGAACATGCGCAACTCGGCATGGGTTTTTGCTCTTCTGGGACTGGAAACCTTCGATGATTCTTTTGGAATAGCTTGGGCTCCTCCACACAACCAATGGGTTTGACCCACCCACCCATGTCTGCAAAACTTGGATCCTTCAGCTGGGTGATGCTTAGCATGCAGCCAGGCACGACTCCGTGAGTTTGCAGCGCTTTGAGCTATGCAAGTGCCGTGAGGTGAAGCGGTTGAGCCATCGCGATGCAGCCTGTGAGCTCAACAAGCTGCTTGACCAGCCCAGAGGTGGACCTTTCATACGTTTTAGATCGTTTTAGTGGTTTTGCTGATGAACAAGTTCATCATGTCATATCATGTCATGGTTGGAGTGGAATTCCTTGAGGCTGCAAAAGATTATTGGCGAGAAAAACGATGTTTGGATATGTTTGGATGCCCTTCAGGATTCCACACCCTTATAACCTATGCAGAAAGCACCACTTGCAACATTTTTCTGGCACAAGATTCCGCGGTAATGTGAGTTCAAAACGCTTTGCTAAAAATCCAGCTGCTTCGGAGTCTGATGACTTCTACATCTAGGTTCGACGACATGATCTGCTTCCTCTCACAAAACGTCTTTGGCTTTGAGCAGCTGATTGTCGTAGACAAGCGCTTCGACGTTCTCTACAGAGCGTGGTGTGTGGCTGAAATTGTCGAGGGGCATGCTTTGCGTATACCTGCAAAGATTCAAGTCTTCTCCCAGAATGCCGTGGATTGCAACTATGACCGCCTATCTTTGTTGGATGTGCGGCAATGTTCCGCATCATCGCAGAATGACAAAGACTTCATTTTGCGGAAGATTGGGGATATAGAGGTGTTCAACTTGAAGTTGCAACAGCTGGTCTTCAGTTCCGAAGGCCTTTTCTGTGAATGGGTCGATGGCAAGGAGCGCTCGCGGTTGGTGGGGCGAATCTTGCGAAGATCAGCCTGTACTCGAAAGAATCTTCATGATGATGAGCTCTCTGAGGCTTCCACCAGCTCGGAGGAATCAGATGAAGCTCTTGCCACCTTCACGGGGAGCTGCGACTGAAGGTCACTGAAGTGGTGATCGCTGATTGAAGCGTTTTGCAACACCCACGTAGATTTTAAAGTGGTTCCCCTGCCTGCTCAAAAGAGATTCTATCCACATAGGGGGACCGCCACATGTCTTCGGAACGGCATCGTGTCGACAACCACGTCATCCAGCGAAGGCGGATCGAATACAGTATGTTTTGGTTTGGGGGTCCGGCACCGGCAAAGCAGGAACAACTCAGAAAACATCAGAAAGCCATGGTGTTCACGGTGATTTGTTGATTCCAGGTGCGAGATGCCTTCTCTGTGAGTTCTATACCTAGAGCCGAAAGCCTGACCTCGGTTTTGATAGGAAAAGAATGGAAAAGACCAGATTTTTGGATCGTTGATGCTCCCAAACAGGGCCACGGGTCATTCAGGCTCCAGGTATCTAGTCCAAACGGTCCGGTGAACACGGCCAGTGAAGCCAAGCGGCATGCGGAAGGTCGCAGGTGCGACCAAGGGTGAAGACGGCACCTGAAGGCCGAAGACGGCACCTGTATGGATACTTATGGTATATGTAGGAATCACTTATATGTAGGATTCCCTGCAGGATGTGATCATTCATGCCAGCTCACCAGCTTTTTTTTTTGGCTCGCACGCTCTCACTGACATCTCAGCATCATGTATTGCAGTTGGATGCAGTTGGCATATCCTGGTGACCAGGTGTTTGTATTATTGCAGTTGCAGTCATTTCTTTCTCACTGTGTGCCACCTAATAGGTGGCAATCACTGTTTCAGAACCTTCACTCACAAGCACCAGTGCCGGTGGCTTCTTCAGCTTCGCAGCGAAGACGGCGGTCGATATAGATCCCTTAAGGTCGAAGGTGGCTGCAGACCCATGGCCTATGTGGCTCCCGCAGGTGCCGAGTTTCCTCAGCATTGCTTTAGAAGAGGTCGCTTTTTCCTGCTGGAAATCCTTTATCACTATACAATTCTAGGATATTCTAGGCATTGCAAGAAAGCACACATGTTTTGATATGTGTTGTGATATTAAATATATTCATATCATGTTCAGTCTATGCCTTATGTTCATCACGTTGGTTTCTATTTAGCTGATGAGCCAAACATGCCGATCCAAGGTTTACGCCGGCGCTTTCTTGGATTTGCCATCATCACACTGGGCACTGTCGGCAGCCTCGTTGCCTTGCAACTCTCAGGGGCAGATGGTCCAGGACAGGTGCGGAGGAGGTCACGGACCTATCTTCAAACACCGAACCAGGTGCGGACAGACTTGGGAGAAGAACGCTTCACCTGGGAAGTCAACACCGGTCCAAAGTCACCGTCACCATTTCGGAGGTGGTTCGATTCATCCAGGATGAACGAATGAACAAGAGCCATAATCTCAATGGTTCCTGCGAAAGGGCACCATTGCGATCTATTGAGCATGACCCCGCACACCACTCACAGAGGGCAACAAACATCAACAGTTTTGTTGTCGAACGTGCCACATGTTGTTCATTCAATTGGGTTTCTTAGTGCCACATGTTGTTCATTTGGACCTTGGTGAAAGAGTGCGTTGTTCGTGCCACATGGTTATGGCCTTGGCCTTGGCAGCCCAATACCGTTGGACCATGCAGGACCATGGATGTTGGGTTTGTTTGCAGCACTTCTGCTAGCAGTGATCCACGTTCCCGAGAGCGGAGTGGTGCGAGAGGTGCCGTTGAACTGCCGTTGGGCCTTTTGTGTGGCCATCGCTCTCCTCACACTTTATGCAGCAACATATCCTTGGCATCAGCTCACATTTTGGCACCATGCAGAGGATGGCACATTGGAAATGCGTGCGGCCAATGACAGGTGGATCATGCTGTTTGGCTTGGTAGGCATGGCTATGGTGTATATCCTTTGCATCCTCAAGCGCCACCCGCCCAGCACATACACGCACGATGCCAAGTGGTGCATGTTTGCCTTCTTGCTTGCCACCATTTTTTACCAATGCTTTGGCGCAGGAAGTGGGTACCACTCCTCGGGAATAGGTGCTGCCTTCTTGGCCTTGTCGGTCAGTTTGCATGGCATCGCTTTGGGCTGGGTGATGATTCTTTTTCAAGCTCGGATGAGATTCTTCAGCTTTACTTCAGTGTCGCAACTCTGGATCTTCATCATGTGTGGTGCCTTCATATCAAGTCCGCTCCTCGATGCTACAAGCGTTTGGTCGAGAAGCTTTGGATTGGTGGCTTTCTTGATCGCACGCTTTGTGTTTCTGGGCATTTGGATGACATACAGCATCTCGGAGGTGAAAGTCCGAAGTGGATCGCAGCAGGGCCTCTTTTGGACATCAGAGTTGAAAATCTGGTGTGTCTACGTTTTTTTGTTTTTCGATGAAGTTGCTAGCCGTTAGCAATTCTTGGCCCCACAGAAGAACACGTGTAAGAGAGGTCTTGAGATGCTTGAGGTGTCATCGCTTGCAGGGCTATATGCCAAGGCCTGCATGCCTTGTCCGTTGAGAGCCGCCGTGTCCATGGTGCACCTCAGCGGCAAGCGTTGTGGGCCGCAGAGGTCTTGAGGACGGAGCTTTTCCTGGGCGCCATACTGTTCATCACGACATTCATCTCCTGGTTCACTATCAATTGCATCAGGTGCCGTTTAAGAAACAGAAGAGCCGGAATTATATATTCGTTCCCGCTAGGGCCGCTAGAGTGGCATTCAATTAAAGCAACATCTTTTCGAACATCGCAACTTCCATGTTTCTATTTAAGAGCATTTTCTTCTGTGGTGAGTCCATGTTAACGATTGCCGCTTCGTCGATGCCCGGAAGATGCAAGCATGCTCACCACGCTGGGATGGAGAGGTTGTGAAAGCCTGTCGATGGAAGGGTCCAAATGCTCAAAAGCCTGACATCAGGTTCGTGGAGCTCAGATACCCAGACGAGTATCAACGTGATGCAACAAGCTTGTGGACCTTCGCGAGTTTCCTTCGTTGCTTCGACTGCTTGGTGAACACCGTGGACCTGGCACTGTTCTCTGGGATTCTTTGGCAAGGATCGCCTCCAGAGGAGGAGCTCGACGGCTGCTCTACGTCGCATGAGGGTATGGCCTCCATGTGGCCTCGCTGCAGTTCAGAAGTTGGTCGACTCCAGCACTGGGACTGGCTACTAGGGTGGAGACCATCGCTAGTAGGTTGGAGGCTCCAAAGAACAACGCTTTGATGGCTGACTCAATGGACGGATGTGATTCTTGCTGCCCCGGGGAGTGGGGGAGGTTTGGAAGCTGATTTGGGTCTTGTTGAAGCGGGGCTCCCAATTCAGGCCTGCCAAAACGGAGATAGAAAGCTGGAAATTGGAGAGGCGATCTTCAGCCGCTGTGCTTTCCCATGGCTCTCTAGGTTCTTATAGGCATCCTGTTTATTCTGCACAGCTTTTCCCTTGCTTTCCTTCTCTGCCAGTTTGATTTCTTTGTGCTTTGTCGTGTTCTTTTGATTGCTGCTTGCTGATACTAATTGTAGCGAATTGTGTTCTTGTTGTTCTTTCTGTCTCATTCTCTGTTGTTCCTGCATTTTTGGTTTGGTTGTCCCATACGCAACACAGCCAAAAGCCGCCTTCACTGCAAGCAAAGCCAACCACTTCACCATCAACTTGCGGAGGGGCAGGGAGGCAGCTAAATTATGATATAGACGAGCCAATTTGGAAACGTTCTTCTTCGTTGACACCCGCAGATATAAAAGTACAGAGTCAGATTTGACAGTGTCCCCAGTGGTTGGTGTACGGTGTCAAAATGCATCATCGGATCAACATTATGGACCAAAAACCAGCAAGACCAAATGTGTTCATGTGTCTCCAAAAGCGTTCCAGCCCGCTTTGGCATCCTCATCCCATATATTGAGAGAGTGGGTCGGAGGACCGACCAAAACGGATGCATCCTCTCCCGGACCAGGTTGGATTTTCTGGATGCTTCGGATCGAGCGCACTACACCGCGAAGGTTCAAGAGCTCGCGCGCCGTGGTGTCCACCTCTCCGCGCTGATGAGCTTTGGACGAAGAAAACGAAAGCGTTTGCTTCGTGGAGAAGCGCGCCCCCCTTTTAACCCGCGGCTTTGGGGGGTTCGAAAGTGAATAGGCACAGCGATCCAAGAATGTTTTCATTCTACTGCCGGGCCATCATATATAGAACCAGGGTGCTCTTCTTGGTGGATTTTGGCTGGAAGCACAGGAGACCAGATGATGTCCTGCCAGTTGACGCTCACCCATCCCCATCTCACACCTTCTCGAATTAGCCTTGCCCCCAGGAACTTCTGGGAAGAGCTCCTGGATGGTCATTTGATGCCCAGCTTCGACCCTTGCCGGTCCCAAACCAACGACGTGGTGCGACAGGCCATCATTCCCTCATCTCGGGTGGGAGATCGCGGCCGTGCATTGGCAGAGCTTTGGGAAGAGCGGCCGGTACTTCCGCAGCTTGGGCTTTTGATTCCCGGTGCTGCTTTGGGCGGATACTTCTGCCCCAAAAAGTAGACTTGCACCGTTGTGGTGTCTCCACGTGATATGCGTAATCAGTTTGTTTGTCCTAGTGTTGAGACCCTTATGACTTTACCATATTGTGAGCAAAACAAGCGTCGCTGAAAGCTCATTGGCCTTTGAATTCTCCGCACTCAATTTGTTTTCGACTGAGAGAATTCTCCAAGCTCGTGGAGTGACTGAGGCCACAAACCCAAAACGATTATATATGCATACACATACAGCAACTATCTTTGCACCCAATTGAACATAAAACCATACATAACTATGCATCATAATTACTCATGCATACTATTCTTCCTGTTGCCACCTTGACAAGCACTGGGCTCCAGCTCATCCAAACACAGCTACTAAAGCTTTACGCAAGTCTGGCAGTGCTTGCAGGGGAAAAACCATGCAAGTTATATGATCAACTATTTGGTGTTGTTGTGTTGGTTCCTTTTTTTGGCAGATTCCAGGCAGAATATGGTCACCCACCACTGGAGCAACAGCTTTGCACACTTACTGGGAGCCATACTGGCAGCGGCTTGGTTCCGATCTGCCAACGTTGGCAGTTGGCCACTGGGTGGTCACCACATAGATAAACACTTACCAAACATTGTTTTCAAATCCGCTTTAGAGCTGATTCGCTGTTCTTCTTAATTTGAAAAGCTCCAGTCTTGGCAGTTGGCAAAATGACGCCAAGGATGCTTTGAAGATGCCATCCTACGCGGAGATCGCTGAAGAACTCTGTACTCCTGCGGGGGTAGCCTCTCTCAGCACAAAACTGCAGGAAGCTAATCAACTGGGTGCCACCTACTGGGTATGTGCTGTATCCGTAAACCAGCATGCCAGCATTTGTGGCTTGACGATGCTTGATGATGTTACGGGTACCACACCACAATAGATAGCTCAAGCCCGCCGTGTTGGGCTTCTAATGGCTCCGTGACCCATGGCCCAAGGTGGCGGGTATGGGCCCGAACCTCCAGAAGGCACTTTGAGATGGGTGGAGTGGGACGCCAAGAGGCCTGGTGGAGTGGGATGCCGGACTCTTTGTTCGTCAGGTTGAGTTTCATGGACATTACATTTCTGAAATGACATGAGCCATGCAGCCCTGATTTCTCACTCCGCACGCGTCCGCACGCAACCATGCAGCCAGGCACGATTCCGTGAGCTCGCAGCGCTTTGAGCTTTGCAATTGCCAGGAACCCAAGCGGTTGAGCCATTGCGATGCAGCCTGTGAGCTGAACAAGCTGCCTGGCCAGTCCTTATGGGCCATGCGGCGGCCATGTGCACCTCTTAGATCTCTTAGCAGTCAAATACCCACTGCTGAGCGTACCACCCAAACGGATGTTGGGGGATTTGGGTGGTATTTTGGTGTTTTGACACCTGTGTCATTGCTCAGGGTGACTGGAAGTTTCATGACCTGGCATGTTTGTAACTCAGAAAGTGTCCAGTGTTTTTTCTGCGGAGAAGCATTGTATATATATATATATATCACATCTCTGAGCAAAAAACAATGGACTTCCTGTACCCTGCCAGGAATGTGTGTCTGAAGTTTCAGTGATGGTATTTCAAACCACAGCGCTCAGAAGGATGGTTTGATGTTTTTGACTGTGAGGTTTGATGACATGATTTGCTTCTTGTCGCACGCTGTCTCCGACTTTGGGCATTTGATTGTAGTGGACCAGCACTTCGACGTTTTGTACAGAGCCTGGTGTGTAGCTGAGATCGTGGAAGGCAATGCGTTGCACGTCCCTGCTAAGATCAAAGTGTTCTCCCAGAACGCTGTGGATTGCAACTATGACCGCCTATCTTTGTTGGATGTCCGGCAATGTTCCGCATCATCGCAGGATGACAAAGACTTCATTTTGCGAAAGATTGGGGACATCGAGGCTTTCAACTTGAAGTTGCAACAGCTGGTTTTCAGTTCCGAAGGCCTTTTCTCTGATTGGATCGACGGCAAGGAGCGCTCACGCTTGGTGGGCCGAATCTGGCGAAGATCGACCTGCCGCACCTTCTCAGACTTGGAGGATTCGAGCAGTTCGAGCACGGACACCTCAAGATCATAGGATCGGTCGTCGAGAGCGACCAAAAAGAGGTGAAACACACATGACTGCACTTGGTTGGGCGCCGCGTTTCGGTGCCGAAACTCGGTGCCGAAACTCGGTGTTTGGGGGGGACCGTTTCGGTGACCCACCGTTGTGGTTCGGAGTCCGATCTTCGCAAAGACGATAAAGACGGTGGATGAGTGTGGATGCATGGAGTTGTTCGTGGGGTCTCTTTGTCCACATGGATGGGTGGACGCGGCAGGGACGTGGCTCGTTTGCGGCGGGACGTGGCATAGATAATGGCTCCTTGTGCTTGGTAGGTTTACGTCTTGGTTTCAAGACGTCATGACTGATTTCCCGCATGACTCGTGAGGTTGACGTGGTTGCAGGGGTGGGTCCTATAAATGCTCCCGCCGGACCGTGGAGACGGGCTTGGTGGAGGTTCGATGACATCTAGAACGTCTCCCCGGAAGAGCTGCTACACATGATCAATGTAATGTAATGATGATCATGTTCGTCACTTCTCATGTTGTTGCGGATTCTAATTTCATGGTTGGATAAGTAAGGGTGCCGGAAGGTGTCAAATGCCGAAAGCAGTGGAATTGAAAGGCATGTTCCGACCTGATCCACTGCCAAACAACATATTTGGACGTGTCTCAGACTGCAGTAAGTGTGATCTGGTGAAGCTCGGCTGTGCTCTTCGCGCCATGCAGTGTCGCCCTTCATGTTGGCTTCCAGCAGAGATGGTGCGCTTCCACATGCGAATTCTGGTTGGGCTTATCCTGTCCGTTTTCATCGCATGCGGCTTCCTTGCAGGTGACAATGGTCCCGGAGACCTGATTCTGGGCTTGTCCGTGGGATTGCTTCTCGTTGTGATCCATGTTCCTGAAGCAGGTACGGTGCGCAACCTGCCCTTCTGCTGCCGTGTCATCTTCTGCGTCATCATTGCCGCCTCGACCTTATATGCTGCCTTGTGGCCATGGCAGGAGATCCCTCCTTTTCTCCCTCCTGACAACCGCGCAGAGTGCGACAAGTGGATGATGCTTTTCGCTTTGCTGATCGTGGCAGCTGTTTACATCCTTTGCATCCTCAAGAGTCACCCCCCAACCATCTACACAAACGACGCCAAATGGTGCATGTTTTGTTGGCTACTGTCAACCATTGCCTACCAATTTGTAGGGGATAGAGGTGTTTTCAGGCACTACCGTCGACCCGGCAACATGAGCTTGGCACTCTCAGTGTTAGTGGCTGTGCATGGCGTGGTTGTTGGATGGATGCTGATCCTCTTCGAGACTCGCATCAGACAGTTGGGTTTGGGCAAATCAATATCCCGACTGTGGGTCTTTGTCATGAGTGCTTCCTTTGTGTTAAGTCCTGTTTGCATGGCCTTTCGCCCAAAGTTGCTAGCACTCATCGGCTCGTTCCTTACACAAGCGATTTTCCTCACGATATGGTTGACCTACAGTACCATGGCCTGCCGGACCTGTTGCCATGGCATACATGTGTTGATGCTTGAATGCCGGAGAGCAAGTGGGGTTGCCAAGCAACAGGCTCTTTGGGCTGCCCAAGTCCTATGGAAGGAACTTTTTCTTGGCGCAACTTTATTTACTGCAGTCTTTACCACGGCGTTCACGGTAGACTGTATCAGGTATTTTGCAATACTGCATCCCGAAGAGTATGAGCAGGAGAAAGAGACCTACTGGACCTTTCTCAGCACTCTTCGTTGTTTCCTCGTCGTGGTGGCGACGATCGACCTGGCACTTTTTTCGGGGATTCTTTGGCAAGCGTCCCCACCGGAGGATGCAGAGCTTGAATCCTCACAAGGAGTTACAACAGCGTCCATGTTGCTTGGAGCAGGTCGAGGCTGGGTGATGCGGGGTGGCGGGTCTTTGTGATTGGTCCCGTCCCCGTTTCGGAAAGTTTCGGATAAACACTCTTGAGATCCAATATCCTGATAGCATGACTCCCAATCGTCAAGGAGGGAACCTTAAGAGAAGCATCCTTAGACCTTGTACTTGGATTGCAGAGGCCGCATGAAAGATGCTCCATCACTGAGGCTAGACTTCCTGGATGCTTCGGAGCATGCAACGTACCGCACCAAAGTGCAAGAGCTGGCACAGCGAGGTTTCCGCTTGCAATCACTGCTGACTCTGGGGTTCAATATGCTAAAATATGCTCAATGTCTTATTCTGGTATGCCAGTTGAAGTTTTGTTGAGACGTGTTGGTAGGTGCCGGCATGATGGGTAGTGGCTCGGTAAACTCAGGAACTACTGGGAAGAGCTGCTCGAGGGTGATGTGATGCCCAGTTTTGATCCTCGATGGTCCCAGACCAACGATGTGGTGCGACAGGCCATCATCCCGTCATCTCGCGTGGAGGAGGGTGGCCGGGCGTTGGCAGAGATTTGGGAAGTGCGGCCGGTACTTCCACAGAACATGGTCACTCACCACTGGAGCAACAGCTTTGCGCATTTGGTGGGAGCAATGCTGGCAGAGTCTTGGCAGTGATTATGTTGCTTTTGTGCTTGGTGTGTCGGACGGGACGAGGAATGCACTCCAACTGAGAGCATCATTGGATTGTTGGCACATGTTGGCATGATGTTTGGTGTTTGGGCTCTCGAATTAGGTGGTGTGTGCCTATGGTTGGAGTTTCCGCACCCTGTGTTCATTGCAGGATGCGTTGGAGAGGACGACCTATGAGGAGCTTACTGAGGAGCTTTGCAGCTTGAGTGGGGTCACCCGCATCAGGAGGAGGCTACGAGAAGCGCACCGACTGGAGTCTACCTATTGGGTTTGCGCCTTTTCGGTGAACCAACATGCGAGCATTTGCGCCTTGGATCACTGATATAAGAAGTCTTTGGGTTTTTTTCTGATGAAATCTGAGCCAAAGAAAGAAACGGCATTGTTGGACAAAACGCAATAGACCACAGGCATCATTTACATGCTGTTTGGTTATTAGACATTGGGACCTTTTCTGGTCAGTGGTTGAGTCGGCACCTTTGTACATGCATGTGCTCCGGCCCTTTTCCCAGTGCACCATGCAAGGTGGAGGGTATGGGCCAGAGCCACGAAGAGGAACTGCAGATTGGAAGGAGTGGGACAAGAAGAGGCGAGGCCATTTAGGAAGTCCACCAGCTGGTAGTGTCTAGAGCTCTTGATAGCCCTTGTTGTTTTCATAGTCCTGCAGTGTGGATGTGTGTTCTTCACGCTGTTTCAGGGTGCCCACCCCGTCTCTCTCACCATGTTGCACTCGGGCAGGCATGACTCTGTGAGTTTTCACCGGTTCAAGCTGTGTGATTGCCACGAGCCTAAGCTGATGAGCCATCACGAGGCTGCGTGTGAGCTGAATAAGCACCTCGGAGGAGAAAAGCGTCGGAGAAGTAGGGCGAACACGCTCTGGAATTCCAGCTGGGCTCATATCTTGAAGATGAAAAACAACATGTTTCACGGCGAACTTATCACTTGTCAATACTCCACGCCAAACAAAGGCCCCCAAAGAGGCAGGAATTATATATTTCCATTGTTCGCATGGATGCTTTCAAGCACGTGAAATCTGTGATAGACACTGGGCAGAGCACCGCAGCTAGAAAGAATTCTTGACTTTGCAATGAAGCCTTTTGCAATCCTTATTTTTTACTTGTATATATCACTGGTTGCTAATTCTTTGCTTGCGCCTTCTTTTCTTCCTAATGCCCCACCAGCTGTTAGGGAACAGTGTGCAAAGACCATTTCTGCGCGTCGAACTTGCGTTCCCGTCCGAACGTCATGCGTTCCCGGATTGGGCGCATTTGGATCGAATGTCAACATGGTATGTACCTTTTGTTTATATAATTGAATATGTCTATGTAGTATGGAAACGTTTTTCGAGAGCAAGAAGCAAACATCAGCATGCAATGCAAGAACAGAAGCGCAAAAACTTGGCTCTAGGATGCTCTAGGCATACAAGATACAATGCGCACACACACACACACTCGGGAAGTGCGTACTGAATTGATTGCGGCACGCCCACCTAAGTGAAAAACCTAAGAAAACCAGGGCTAGGTTTGAGTAAGGCGGTCTGACCATATCGTGCGAGTCTTAAGTTCAAAATGGCTCAGGGGTTCCAACGACTGCCAAGAGTCGAAAACACGAAACGCTCGTCATGCACTGCAGAGCTCACTAGCACTTTACTGCAAACAAACGACGCCAAGAGAGAAGTTTTGTTCTAGTTAGCAGGGACAAAGAGGGAGTGAAAAGTATCATTGTGCACCAGGTTGCTCAGACCTGGCATACACCATCACGCATAGCATAGCTTCCTTGGCACGCGTTTGCGTGATGGCCGCATGCCCCCCCCCCACTTACTTCAAAGGTTGCACACAAAGACCAAAGGCCCCCTTTGATTCCAATGTTTGCACAAAGTGTTTAGACAATGTCTTGGGGTCTTCGGAACAATGCA